AGTACTTCACTGGGCACTTAAAGGGCCACAATGTAGGCACCAGATATTCTTTTACCACGGCATCATCACTGAAAAGGCCCTCTCGACAGGAGTGTTGAGACTCTTACCATGTTGGTCGATAGGGATTTTGCTATTTAAAATTGATGTGTGTGGACCTTTGGGTTGGTTTTCATTAGTTACATGCCAGATAAAATCTTCATTTTTGCCAAATGCTTGTCTACAAATTGCTTACTTTTTTCTCTCTCCTCTTTTCTGTGGGTTTCTAACAGAACAAAATTAATCATACAGTATTAAAGGACTTGCTTGATCCAATCAAGGAGCTCTATGAAGACGTGAAGAGGAAAGCACTGATGAGACTGGAGTATGAAGGACTGCACAAAAGTGAGGCCATCACAACACCCGGAGTTCGGTTTTACAATGACCCTGCTGGCTTCGCTATGAACAGATACGCTTATTATGTTTGCTACAAATGCAAAAAGGTATGATCTGGGGCCTAGATCCATTGTTCAGATTAACCAGATTAGGAAATTGCCGAGGCGCTGGTATGGATCTGCAACCCTTGGTGAGTTAGGGAGGTTCCCTGCATGAGAGGGCAGGCTCTGGTGGACTGAGCAGATGAGACCAATGGTCAAGAAGGCGGTTTCTGCACGTGCCGTAGAGGGAAGTGAGGGGCAGATGGGACACGTCAACCTGGGAAGGTAGCCCATCTAGGAGGATAACTCTGGTCCTAAACCTCTGCTGCCTTGCGGCTACACCCATTTGTGAGAAAGGCTTTGGAAGTAAACCCAGAGGAAAAATCTGTACCTGCTGCCTTGCAGGATATCTTGGGGGGGAGAAAAGGCTAAGGAGTAAGCCCTACACAAATCTGTGGCGCAGTCCTTAAAACAGTTAGATGGTATCTTGTATGCGTCCTTCCAGCAACTCCTGCAGCCAAGCTGGTGCCAGCTGTATTGCTTTGATTTCCTCTGGACCACATCAGCAAGGCCGAGAGTGGGGTCCTGTCTTCTGGCCAGCCCAGGACCCCAATACACACTGCCCAGGAGGGGTCACTTTGGTGCTGCAAAAATTCTGTCAGTTGTGCCAGAAATAGATATACAGTGGTACCCCGGGTTACATACACTTCAGGTTACAGACGCTTCAGGTTACAGACTCCACTAACCCAGAAATAGTGCTTCAGGTTTAGAACTTTGCTTCAGGATGAGAACAGAAATCGTGCTCCGGCAGCACAGCAGCAGCAGGAGGCCCCATTAGCTAAAGTGGTGCTTCAGGTTAAGAACAGTTTCAGGTTAAGAACGGACCTCCGGAACAAATTAAGTACTTAACCCGAGGTACCACTGTAATCTTCCATGCATGGTAAAAAGCTGATCTAAACTGTGCAAATATATTTTAAAACATAATTCCATGATTGCACCTTTTCAATTCCAGCTTTATTTTTGAAATAAGCATTTAAAAGACTTTCAGCCCTCTACTGGTAATTTTCAGTTAATAATGTAAACTTCAGCAGCTCTCTTTTCTTCAGCTCCTGGTTGCATTCACCTCCTCTTTCTGAACAGTGACATCTTTTGGGGGACATTTTTCAGAAAGGTAGAAGTGACTAGAGGAAGTAAGCAAGAACTCTTTCTTCCAGCATCTGGAGGGGCCACTAGTTTCCCATTCATGCTCTGTTTCTTATGAAACTACATCCTGACTACTTGCTATCCCTGACAAACCCCCCCTCCACCCCAAAACAAGGATGTTGAAATGTAGAAACCCTCTGCTTTAATTGTTAGCACATCCAAAATTAGCCTGGTAAATATAAGACTTTGCCAATAGTGAACCACCCTTATGCTTGAGATCTATAGATACACACATAGAAAAATATTGTTATATACTAATAACATTTCATCTGTTCCTCTTTGCAAATCAATTTACTTCTGAGATGCTGTAAATGAACTGTACTGTGGTACCTCGGGTTACATACGCTTCAGGTTACAGACTCTGCTAACCCAGAAATAGTACCTCGGGTTAAGAACTTTGCTTCAGGATGAGAACAGAAATCATGCAGCGGTAGCATGGCATCATTATCTAACGTCATTATCTAACGTGGTGTCTTGGGTTAAGAACAGTTTCAGGTTAAGAACGGACCTCCGGAACGAATTAAGTACGTAACCAGAGGTACCACTGTACTGTCTTCAGTTTTTCATGTCCTGATAGTCTTTTGTATGTTTTCCCTCTTAGGCGTATTTTGGTGGAGAAGCACGTTGTGATGCTGAGGCTGGCCAGGGAGATGACTATGATCCTAGAGAGCTCATCTGTGGCGCCTGCTCTGATGTTTCACGGGCTCAGGTAGGAAAACACTTTTGCTTTGCTTTTTTTAAAAACACCACCACCACAAATGTACAAAGGAAAACAGCTTTTAACTCATGCTAGTTAGCTTAACCTGTGGTTTTCCCCCTTTTTTCACAGATGTGTCCTAAACATGGTACAGATTTTCTAGAGTACAAATGTCGTTATTGCTGCTCGGTGGCCGTGTTTTTTTGCTTTGGGACAACCCATTTTTGCAATGCTTGTCATGACGACTTCCAAAGAATGACTAGCATTCCTAAAGAAGAACTTCCACATTGTCCTGCAGGTAACATTTTAAAATGGTAGTTAAAGGTATCTTGGAATAGCTTTAAACTCTTGGAAAAGTAGGTAGCATGCCAGATAGTCTTTAAGCAGGATCTGCTACAACAGACCCTTGGACAGATTAGTATTTCCTGTTCAGATTTTCATAATTATGTTCAGTTTTATGCATGGAGGCTGAGTTATTTGAAAATAATATCAGGTGTTTTATTCCCCCAAATAAGCAAAGCAATCACATTAAAACCAGTAGCAAAATGGTCCCCTCCCTTCTCAAACAAATTTCACAGTACCTTTTGGTACATGCATGAAGAAAAGGAATTACAAATATCCTATAATGTGTGATCAGTGTTCCTGGGTCAAGAAAATGGGGGCGGAAGGAGGGGGGAAGTAACATAAACCCTTTAGGAAGCCATAAATTCAATGTTGAGGTTTTCTTAGTCTCCAAGACCACAAAGTATAGACTTTTTGTGGTTCCCTTCAGCTCCCTTCTGACAAGAGGTTCGTGTTAAATGCTTGCCCCCTGTATAAGCCTTCAGTTTTGCATGTCACCTGATTTGTCAAAGTATTCAATTTTTACTCATGCCAGGGGATTCTTACAGCTTTCTTTCCACAAGAAGAGAAGCACCATGCACAATATGGTCATCTCTCTCTCTCTCTCTCTCTATTTGGTTGGATGGGTGGGTTACCTTTAGCATAAAGATTTGAACCCTTCAGTGGTGTAGCTTTATAAATTTCTAGGTGCTCGTGCAATGTTTTACAGATTTTGTTTGGTCTTCTTAAACCTTTTTGCAGGTCCCAAGAGCAAGCAGCTTGAAGGAACAGAATGTCCCCTTCATGTAGTCCATCCACCTACTGGCGAGGAATTTGCACTAGGCTGTGGCGTCTGCAGAAATGCACATACTTTTTAGTCCATAGTCCTTTAATTTGCCAGAGCAAAGCTGCTGTCATCCCACAAGTGTCCTGAGTTCATTATAAACCACAATTAAAATGAGGATGGGACCATTTGATAACACAGGAAAAAAGGAACATTATACGGGAAGATGGATGCCAAATACCATGTACATAATCCTTGCTTTGGGGAAAGTGACATTTATGACCCAAGACATCAAAACTTGTGAGGTGTTTGCATGTGGCCATTACGTGCATCAGCTACAAAGCATTGGACACTTGCAAATAAATAATTGCTGTCAAAGAGGCTCTGTTTCCGTGGACTCCAAATGATGCTGGATATCAGATGAAGAAAAAGTTGATTATTGTATACTGACTTTTTTGTAATCCTGTACAATTGTAACTGCATCACGGGTAGGGGTGGAAAAAAAGGAATATTCTGGTTTATTTCTTAGACTGTTATTAAAGTGTTAGGAAGGCATAAATGTAACCAGTATCACGCTGTATATATAAAATATCAATGTTTGTCCTGTATAAGAATTACTAAATTGTAAACAGCAGTTTCATTTAAACTTCTGGGTTATGTTTGAGCCTGAAATTTTAATGAAGTGCAATACTGAGTGTGCCTCATATCTTGCAGCTGTAAACATAATGGAATGTACATGTCAATAAAGCCGCTGTACATTTTTATACAGTGAAAGTCTAATGAATGTGAAAGAACTTTTATTTGGGAGTGGAAACTCTTAACTGTATCGAAAATGAATTTATTTGAAGGGTGTTCTTACTGAGGTAAGAAAACACTTCTATTTTCCTTATCATTTTTGACGCAGCGCTTTAGCAAATAAAACACACTCCTTTTCAATCTAGAAAAAAACCACACCCTTTATCATTTTATGCCACAAAACCTCCCGCCCTGCTGCGTCCTGAGTTATTTTGGTTCCTCTTCTGAAATGAAGTTGTTTTAGGACCAAAGTGTATGCAGTCGATAACTGTACAAAGTTTGTAAAAGAACAGAGTCATGAAATTCTTGCTGTTGTACTCTCTTAAGAGGGTGCTGTGTAATCATTGTAAATTACCCCGTCCCACAGAGCCTAGGACTTGCCGATCAGAAGATTGGGGGTTTGAATCCCTGCGATGGGGTGAGCTCCTGTTGCTCGGTCCCTGCTCCTGCCAACCTAGCAGTTCGAAAGCACATCAAAGTGCAAGTAGATAAATAGGTACCGCTCCGGTGGGAAGGTAAGCGGCGTTTCCGTGCACTGCTCTGGTTCGCCAGAAGCGGCTTAGCCATGCTGGCCACATGACCCAGAAGCTGTACGCCGGCTCCCTCGGCCAGTAAAGCGAGACGAGCGCCGCAACCCCAGAGTCGTCTGCGACTGAACTTAACGGTCAGGGGTCCCTTTACCTTTACCCCCTCCCACAACATCCCCTCCACCAAACAACCCTGTTTTATCAGTTCACTCATAAAGGGTATTCCTGGAGTCATCACCCCACCCATCTTCCCACTCAGCGTTCAAAATGCTCAGTTGGTAGAGCATGAGATTCTTAATCTCAGGGTCCTGGTTTCAAGCTCTACTTTGGGCAAACAGATTCCTGTATTCTAGGGGGTTGAACTAGATGAGCCTCGTGATCTACCAATCTCTCATTCTCCAGGATGCTTTTATCCCTTCGATGCATGTCAGGCACTCTGGAAACCACATCAGACGCCCATGATGTTTTAATGTATTTTTAATCTTTTGTTGGAAGCCGCCGGGAAACCCAGCCAGATGGGCGGGGTATAAATAATAAATATTAGGAAGTTGAGCACTCTGGAAAAAGCCTATTCCGTAGCAGTGGATATATTTGGAACACACACAAATGGAGGAAAGTGCTGTCACTGTTGTTTCTAGCTTCTTTTGTGAGCTGGTCAGTGAATTTCTACAATGAAAATTTGGCCTCTGTCTCTGAGCCTGTCTTCTGAAACCTGGAAGATATTTTCTCCAAATTCAGACACAACAGAGGCTGATCATGATCAGTCTGGTGTGATGAGCTCCACACATAAGCAGAGATTACTACTTCACATTTTCCAGACTGAGCCATGCATTTCAAATATCTTCTGCTGTGTTCTGATGTGGCCTCATTCAAACATAACCATTATTTTTGTCTATTGGCTGGAATACTTTGTTCTTTTAATTTAAAAAGTGTTTGGATAATGAATAGTTAAATTGATTCTTTTGTGGGGTGGGGAGCTGCACACAACTGGAAGCAAGCTTTCTTTGCATTGTAAAAGCTTTTGCCGTGTTTAGCATAGATGTAAACGATCCATGAATTCAAAAATTGTACAGCTTGGTTTCTAAACGAGGTCTGGAGTCAAATGTGTCTGAAAAAAATCACACTTGGGCCCTCATACATGAAAGCTCTTCCATTGGTGTTGCAGAAAATAACTGATTTTTTATTTTTTTTAAGAGGAGACAACTAACTGCACTCTGCACATATATCATGGCACACTTTTCTTAAAGTACTGGGCAAGCCATATTTTGTGGTAGAAGCACCAAGATTAAAAACTGCATAATCAAAATGTTACCAGCTACCACTGGTATAGGGCTCTGTAGATCTTGAACGTGTGACTTGGTTCTATTTCTTACTTTTAAAATTTAATCTAACAATATATATTTAATATTTTCAAAATAAGAATTTTAAAGATCCCCACAATTCTTTCACGAAAACCAACAGGGACATTGCAAGCGCTTTCAACCTAGGAAGCAGCATTGGTCCTCTAGTTGGGCTCCTGTGTCAGGCAGCCGAATGTCTACATCTCTCCTTCACATAATGATAATGATAATGATAATGATAAAGCAGCTCCCCCCTTTTTCGCTCCCTCTCGCCCTTTCTTTCCCGCCAGTTATTCCTCAAACCATCTGCGGTTGGACTACAACTCCCATCATGCCTATGCAAGCGGGACCAGCCGTTAAGGCATGACGGGAGCTGTAGTCCAACCACAGCCGGGGACCCGCGTTTCGGCGACGGGACAGCGTCGAGAAAGTCTAGGAAGCGCCGTCGGTGGGACGTTCTAGGAAACCTGCCTCTACGGCCTTCTGTGTTTGGGTGCGAGAGAGAGAGAGCGCGCGCGCTCTGTAGCGGGAGAGGAGGGCGGGGCCGCAACCGCAAACTCCTCCCCTCCCCTCCTGCACATGCGCGGTCGAGGGCCAGCCCCGTCGCAGCGTCAGGCGAGCGCCGCCATTTTGAAGTAAACAAGCGGCGGGCGGGCGGGCAACGGTTGGCTGTTGTCCCTCAGCTGCCGACCAGAGCGGGGCGGGCCTGGTGGCTTCTTGGCGAGGCCCCCCGCTTGTGCCGGGCGGGGCCGCTGATGAGGAGGCGGCGGAGGAGGCGGCGGCGGCAGGAAGGACTGAGAGGCCCCGGATAAGCGACGCGGAGGACGGGAGCTGCCTCCGACAGGTGACCCCGGCGGGCCGGGTGGAATGGGGGGCCGGGCCGGGTGGGGGTTTCTGGGCGCCCCCGGTAGCGGCGCTGCCGTGAAGGGAGAGAAACGCCCCCTTCGCCCCCCCAGCTCCACGCATGCGTGGCCGCCACTTGCTGGGTTTTATGTTATTTATTGCATTTATTTATTCCGTTTAAGGTGACGATGATGAGGATAATGATGATAGTAATAATGATCATCATCATCATAATTTATTTGCACCCCGCCCAGCTAACTGGGTTGCCCCAGCTACTCCGGGCAGCTTCCAATATAAAAAACATAAGAAAATATGAAGCATTGAAAAGTTTCCCTATACAGGGGCTGCCTTCAGGTGTCTTCTAAAAGTGACATCGGATGGGAGGGAGTTATACGCCGATTGATTTAAAAAAAAAAAATCCCCAGCAAACAAGCCACAAGACAAAACCGTAAAATATTTATTATTATTATTATTATTATTATTAAACAATTTACTAGTTGCTTTTCACCCAAAGGTTAGCCCAGCGACTTTCAGCAAAGAGTTTTTTTGCAATACATAATATCATAGGGGAAAGGGAGGGGGGAATCATATAACACATTAATATTAACTACAACATATCATTTGTGGAGGGGGGGAGGGGAGTATCAATAGTAGCAAGCAGCCTTAACAATTCTCAAATAATGAACAAAGGGGTACTCTGACCCACTAATCAGCAAATAAGCAAAACCTTAACCCTGCTCCCAGTCTAAAAATCATTTGCATCAAACCAATTTTTCCCGCCCCAAGGGGGTTTGCTCGCGTCTCCAGCTCCTGCTGTCATTCATAGAATCAGTTAGAAATCAAGCCCAATGCCCTGTAATGTAGGAATCTTCTTGCCCAATTTGGGGCTCGAACCCACAACCCTGAGATTAAGGATCTCATGCTCTACCGATTTAGCTATCCCAATTGTTTGTCTGTTTCACCCCCCCATCTTTCCTTTCAACTAAGACCCAGTAGCTGCACCCGTAAGTTGTGGATTAAATATATCCAGATGTAAAAGCAAACAAACAAAAACCACATTGCCCTGCAGTGACATAAAAATTAGGCCGGTTTTCAGAGGGAAAGTTGTTCTGTAAACAAAGTACAGTGGTACCTCGGGCTTCAAACGCTTTGGGTTACAAACACTTTGGGTTACAAACTCCGCTAACCCGGAAGTAGTACCTCAGGTTGAGAACTTTGCCCCAGGATGGGAACGGAAATTGCGCAGCGGTGGGAGGCCCCATTAGTGAAAGCGTGCCTCAGGTTAAGAATGGTTTCGGGTTAAGAATGGACCTTCGGAATGAATTAAGTTCGTAACCCAAGGTGCCACTGTATTCTTTTTTAAAAAACAAACCTTTAAACAGCTCTTCACAGAGATGCGTTTTACTGCATTTTGCTGCCCACATTGCCTAACGAATATGCTGTGCCTCATTGAAGCGTGTTGTAAGGCCTTAAAGACACTTCTGCCAAACCTTTCTCTCCCCCTCCCCCCACCAGCACAACACATACTTTGCTATACCTATCATACATACCTACTCTGCCAGCTGCACAGCTAAGACTCAGCGTCATATTTGTAAATGTACTTATGGTGCAAATTATCCATTACAAAATTTTTAAAGGAAATGAAGAGTGACCAGAAGAAAGTTGAAGCACCCAAATGCCATTGCACAGTGTCAGTAAAGTTACGATAGATATAAAAAACACTTCAAAGTCTCAGAGTGGTAACTGCTGTAGTTTTAGAAATATTTGTATATAGGTAGTAATCCTTGGGATCTCTTTTAGAAATATTTGTATACAAGTAGTAATCCTTGGAGTCTGCACCCTGTGGAGTTTCTCTTCCTTTTTCTTGACAGTAGTTCTCTGCACTGCCTTGAATTATTTATTTGTAGATGCCCAAGACAGTTTGTTGGGTAGAATAATAAGTACAACACAGCAAACTCAATAAAAATCATCTAGTTCTTAAAGGTTGTTAGTGTCAAAGGTGATTAACAACCTCAAAATTCTAGTGATGTTTTCCTTCCTCTGTTTGCAAACAGTACACCTAGAGGTAATGAAAAGGATCTAAACAGCAATGGGTTGGCTCCTTTCTGTGTAACTGAGTCTGCACACTGTAAACAACATGTTGACAGAACTGAGAGAGGTGTATTCAAAGCACACTAAAGCCTAGTCCTCACTCCACCCTTTTTAAAAGTGTTGATTGAATAGTGTCATTGTCAGTACAATTGTATTGTAACTAGTTATTTAGACTGCACCCAAATTAATTTTCATTTGATATTCTTGTAGTCTGATCTTAAGACTTTTGGTGCCATCAAATAACTGCTTAGGGTGAGGGCATATACTGGTGTTGCCATAAACAAATATTGTATGAATTACTGCTTTATACATAGTTCAGCCAGCTTAATTAGACAATGATTTTTCGAAATAGCACAATAATGGTAAACTGAAAAATGTTCTATTGCTATGCTAAGAATAGTAAAACCTCTTCCTGCTACGTCAGGTAGCTGCAACAATGGTGTAATGGCCTGAGTATGAAAATATTCTGTTCATTTCACCTCACCTTCCACTGTTTGATATGTAACCTGGATAGTCAGTCCCATATTTGTTCTGAAATCCCAGATCTGAAGCCTGCAACAGAAAAGTGCCTTCGTAGCTGATCCTATGCCTTTTACTGATTTTATAGAAGCTTCAAGAGCAACATAAAGTAAGAATAAATGATATGATTCACACATCACGTCAAACTATAGTTAAGATAAACTATTGTTTAAATGTGAACATACTGTGACACTGCACACTGCCAAAATTGCAGATGCTTCACTCTTCTCCGACTCCTTCTGGGAATCAAGCCGTTGCTGGCTTAGCATTACATCTGAACCCAGGCTTATGATTTATTTCACCCAAAACGATTCTTGAGCAGTAACCGAGACAAGGAGGAGGAGGAGGTTAAATCAGCCATGGTCAAATGGGCCCAAGACTTTGGTCACAATATAGAGATGTCTCAATGGGAAAACCTTTGGAAAGTCAACTGGAGATTCACAGCATGCTACATTTTAAGGAAGAATTTCCAAAATATGTTATATTGCTGGTATCTCGACTCCTTGCAGACTTGCTAAAATGTTTTAAAATGTCCCAAATACATGCTGGAGATGTGGAGAACAGGGTGCCACTATGTTCCATATATGGTGGGTATATAAAAAGATAAAACCCTATTGGAATGACTTTTACTTTGAACTTTAAAAAATGTTAAATATAAACCTTTTTTAAAAACCCAGTGTCATTCCTACTCGGTATAACAGGCTTAGATAGCCCCAGAAATGCATGGGAAAATTTTTTATACGCTACTGTCGTGGCGAGAATACTTACAGCAAAACATTGGAAGAGTGACATAATTCCTACTAGAACCAAATGGATATTGAAGTTAGTAGAATACGCTGAGCTAGGTAATCTTTCTGAAAAGATCAAAGATAAGTCTAAACAAGAGTTTATTTCAAGCTGGGAACCTTTTAAGAAACATTTGAAAAACAGTTGCCATGACCTGAACACGGTTGTCGCCTTTGAGTAGCCTCTGTAAATAATTATGTTAAAGGAAAATGTACACAAGCTTTAATACTTTTTCAGTAATTAAGTAGTTAAGTTTATGCAACAAGTTTATTAAAATGGAAGAAGTATGGAAAGGACGGGAAGTCACAGGTTGATGATGTTTGACAATTTTGATTTATGGATAATAATGAATGAATGTTTATGTTGTACAGATGTGATGATGAACAATAAAGCGGGGAAAAAACAAAAACTTCTTGGGTACCACTCATGGTTTGTTTTTGGAAAACAATCCACATGCTCAGATTCAGACGTAATGCTCAGCCAGACCACGACTTGTTTCCCAGCAGTGCAGCAGAAGCTCCCATTATTTCAGCAGCGTGCACTAACATACTGCACGTTCACATTTAAACGTTTTATTTTAAGTATGTTTTAAAGTGATACACAAAAAGACCAGTACTGTGTATATAATGTCTGTCATAGTATCTTTCAAAAGCTGTAGTGCCATTGTGAGAGTCTCATTTGAGAAGATGGCATTATAAAAATCTATTCCAGATCAATGTTCCTAACATGGAAAAAAAGAAATTATTCCACACCTCTGGATGTTTTGCTTTCAGATCTTAGTTAATTTTGGAGGCTTTATAGTAAGAGAGAACTGTTTATCTTTTGGAAATGCTCTTTTAACTTGTAGAGCTAATATATTCTGAAATGTGTTTCTCTTGATAGAATGAAACGAGGCAGAAAAAACAGCAAGACCAGCAATCATTTATCAGATGAGAATATAGCAGATGGCAAAAAAGTGAAAATTACAGATGAAGAATCTGCTGGAGTATTTCAGGGCCCTGACTGGGGGAGCCTCATTCCAGATATTCTGCTGCAGGTGTTCCAGTATTTGCCTCTTCTCGATCGTGCTCATGCATCCCAAGTCTGCCGTGTGTGGAACAAAGTGTTCCACATGCCTGAATTATGGAGGTGCTTTGAATTTGAACTGAATCAGCCAGCCACATCTTACTTAAAGGCTACCCATCCAGAACTCATCAAGCAAATTATTAAAAGACATTCCAATCATCTACAATATGTCAGCTTCAAGGTAACAGTTTTATAACTTTTTTAAAAAGACAGTTGAATACTTCATAAATTGCTGGCTTTTCCGCAACTGCACATATTTGCAACATTTCCAGCCTGCTCCCTGTCTGGCCAGTTACCGTATTTTTCGCCCCATAAGACGCACTTTTTCCCCTCCAAAAATGAAGGGGAAATGTGTGTGCGTCCTATGGGGCGAATGCAGGCTTTCGCTGAAGCCTGGAGAGCGAGAGGCATCGGTGCGCACCGACCCCTCTCGCTCTCCAGGCTTCAGGAAGCTATCCGCAAGCCTTGCAAGCCCGGCGGGAGTTCCTGCGGGCTCACAAGGCTTGCGGGCAGCAGCCTGCAGCCCCGGCGAGTGTCCGCAAGCCTTGCGCGCCTGGCAGGAGGTCCTGCCGAGCGCGCGAGGCTTGGGGCGGCAGCCTGTCGCACGAAGCACGGGGAGCCCTCCGGAGGGCTCCCCGTGCTTCGGGCGAGTGTCTGCAAGGCTTGGGGCGGCGGCCGTGGCGGGGGGGGGGAATAATTTTTTTTATTCATTCCCCCCCCCCAAAAAAAACCGAGGTGCGTCCTATGGGCCGGTGCGCCCTATAGGACGAAAAATACGGTAATTGGCATTAGGAAAATAGGAGAAAACAAATCATTACTATAACAATGAAAATCTTTGAAGCATGTTTTGTAAGTAGCAATATTTCCTGCAGTGATAGGGTCTAAAATGAACCTCATTCCGAACCTGCATGTTGGTCGTTTAATACCTAAAATAGAAACTGAGAATGAATTTTAGAGCTTATCTTTGTTGCAAACTAAGAGAACACAGAAGAGCGATTTCTAGCTTTACATCTGCATTTATGTTATTGTTTGAATCAAATAAGCGAACAGTATCCAGTTAACTTGGTATATAGCTCTACAGTGAGTTATGAAGTGTCTACCTGAAAATGCTAATTTCAAGCATGGTGAAAACTAATCCTGATGTATGCTGTGCCAACGTTTAACAAGAAAAACTTTGTGTTATAACTGATACTTCACCAGCAGGGTTCCACTGGCGCAGTAGGACTTAAATTTTCTCTATTCAACTTCCCTCAACACCTGCTTCAGAGTCTCCAAAGAGAGATTTCATGTTGCAGGGACTTTAAATTAATGTTGCTGTTTCAGCACAGAGATAGTTGTTCCTTCTATCTTTCTGGCGCTAGTCCCAGTGCACTGCTGCTCATCACAACAGAAATGTCCTACGGTCTCCCCTCAAACAATAGATTGTAGATGGTTCTGGTTCACCTGGCATTGTCTCGACCCCCAGCTTGCTTTACTCCAGCTCCCTTAGCAGGGAAAGAGGGCAGTTCTACTGAGGAAAAGCACTAATGCAGTTGCCATTGTAAAATGAAGAACATGGGTTTGGTTTAAAAGGTACAGTTCCACAAGGGCTGCAATTTTTACTTCTGTGCTGCTCTGTTCTGAATATGTTTCTTAGTTCTTAGTGGCAGATTTTTAGGGATCTGCAAAGGAGAAGCTAAAACAAGAAAGCCCCATTGTGGTCAAAGAGTGAAGGGTAGGTTCCAAGTTAAGGATTAGAAATGCAAGACACTCCTTTTAATTCATGCAAATTAGACTGAAAAACCCATGAATGTCAGGAAACTGTAAGAGATAATTACGAGTTTTTATGTGTGTGAATTGATTAATATTTGTTTATTTATTTATTCCATTTATATCCTGTGCTTCCTCCTGAGTGAGCCCAGGGCATACTCACAGGTCACAACTAAAATCTCCTGAGAATAATTTGTCCATGACTAACTTCCCTTCATGCTGTCCATGTTGCTAGACTCGTATTACAAGTTTGCTTTCAAAATGACTGCAGTCTGTTAATTCTCTCACTATTTATAACATCTTCTTAAATTTAAGTTAAACTGACAGGAGATTCCCCCCCTAAAATATCACTGTGTTCATTATTGGGAATGCAACCTGTTATAATAATGTTTGTCTTCCTTGTTTTGCTTTCCTTAAGAATGATATGGTATCCTGAGAGTTTTTTTAAAGAGATCTAGTCAGATTCAGAAAGATGCAGTTGTATGTGAGATGGGGTTATATGAGCCCATATATTTAGTATTCTTCATCAGGGTATTTGAATAAGGATGGGATTGAGATGGTTGTGCATCACTGTGACACCAGGCAAGAGTTCAGATTCTTTTCTATGGGTGGTTTAATCAAGCCAGCTTCAGTAACTGTAGCTGCATTTAATGTTAACCACCTTTTTGTCAGTTCAAACAGCACAACAAACTGCAATTAAACAAAAGCTTCTGAACTTCTCCCATCTACATGGGTGGAGAGGAGAGGAGGAGCATGTGTGAACCTGAGGCTCACAGAAAATCAATCCTGGTTGTTCATGTCACACTAAAGGTTGAATGTTTTGTTGAACAGTTTTTCAGTAACACAAAATTCATATTCTGTAAAACAGATAATTATTGACTGTCTGTAAGGGTGTTAAGAAAACTGCATTACAAAGCATATTCAGACCTTTTTTTTAGTGTTTCTGTTTCTCTGTTCAACTTCAGGTAGCCACTGACATTTCGAGGGAGATTTCTCATGAGTTCTGGGAGAAATGTGTTATAATTAGGCAGCAAATTAATCATTTTAATTAATAAAGAAGAATTAACTAATTAACTAAAGAAGTAGTTTTGTCTATGAATTAAGGGCACACTTATTTTTGGAAGCTACTTTGGTTTGGGTACAATACGGTAAGGGGGAATGAAAAAAGTTTTAAGGTGGCTATTCTTTCTAATGATGAGCCAAAGCTTTCATTTGTAATTTTATAGTTAAACAAATTATGATAAAATTAACTATTGGCATTTTGTTGTTGTGAAAAATGTTAAATGATTAGTCCACCTGTTTGAAGCTAGATGATTTCTCAACTAAGAATAATTCAAGAGGTTTACAATCTTAATCATAGTGCTGCGAAGCATGCCTGAGCATGACTGCAAACGATCAACTGATAATGAGTAGGTTGAAAGAACAGCTAGGCAGATGGGGAATGATTCTACAGTTACCTTGAAACCATGGTTTGGCATTGCATGGGTGAGCCATGGGTTTTTTCCCCATTCCTTTTTCCCTGCACTTAGATATCTCCTGGCTAACATAGTTTTTCATTATACTTAACACTGGCAAATTAAGAAGGTTTCAGTTTGCCCTCCAAGCCATAAAAACAAACACTGATCAAACCATTTTTGCCATTTTGACTTGGACAGCAAGCACAAGTCTATCTTGCCATTTGGATTGCACAATGAGAGGAAAGAGAGAAGAAATTGCAATGTATGAGCCTAATGCCAAACTATGGTTTGGTGCTACATATGAACCATACTACTGTGATGGTTCACACAGTGTTAGTTTCATGGTACCTCCATATATACGTCCCTCCTCTGAAAAATGCCAAATATGTAAAATAATTATTATTCCTGAAAATATTCATCTCGGCAAGTCTCCGGTGTAGTTCTTAGGCGCTGTGAATAAAGATTATGTCATAAATCCATGATGGATTATCTAGGAGAATTTTTGTTTTTTGTTGGCTAGTTGCTGTTTATTCCTCCCAAGAGAAAACTTCCAAGTAGCAAGTGCTGCCGGGATTGTAGCAAAAACAGATACTGAGAAACCAAGAAGGAAATACCAGCATGTTTGGGAGAACTCTTAATGTTTGTAGAAGTATTTTTAAAAACCTAAGGGGAAGTTATTGCTTCCCCACAAAAATAGAATGCCAAAGAGGAGTGAACATGCTCACTATTCAATACGATGTAATGTTTTATTGGAAACAGTTTGAAAAGAAGAATGGAAGACAGGTGGAGTGCCCTTCTTGTGGAGAACGACTGAGTTGGAAATGTAGAACACGAGCATACTTCTTGCATGTCTCATTTGTACCTTCTTAAGAATGACAGCTAATTAATAATGAGTAACTATTTGTATCTATAACTGATAAATTTTTAGAGACAACTAATAGCTAGAATACTTTACCTAACAGTTAACATATGTGTGCCCTAAAATGGAGTTACTTTTCTTGTCTGATCTTTTGTAGCAGCAGCAAAGTTAATAATAGCAAAAGTGTGTAAGTCCATGAAGAGGTAGAGTATGAAGGTTTTAAATAAAACAGCTTAGAGAGTTTTTCAGTGTTTGGAGTGGTATTTGCATCCATTGTGTGTTTGTTTCCTTTTTAAGGTGGACAGCAGCAAGGAATCGGCTGAAGCAGCTTGTGACATCTTATCACAGCTTGTGAACTGTTCTTTAAAAACACTAGGACTAATTTCCACTGCTCGACCAAGCTTCATGGATTTGCCAAAGGTATTGATCCTACTGAAAAAATAGGTTGTTAGAAGGGAAGCTGATCAACCAACAAATTATGAATTTGTCAGTTCCTTGTGTGTGCTGTGAAAAGCTTTTTGCCTTCGTGATGATCCTATTTCAGACCTTTTCAAACCATGCAGCGTGCTCCATCGGTCCACACCCTGTTTCTTTCTGTCACTGTGTTGGTTGTTGCAGCAGTGATGAAAGTGAGCATTGCAAGCTTTGTTCTGTGTTAGAGGCTGCCAGGAACGACCTTGCTGCACCCTGTGTTTCCTGCTTAAGAGATCCAGGGCCCCAGTTGACAGGACTTGGACTCATCAGTAGGAACTTGAGAAGGTGCTGGCAGGGAATGGAGCTTTCAGGCAGGGAAGTCCTGCAGCTTCCCCTCTGCATCTAACAGTTAGGTAGGAAATGCCTGAAACCAGACATTGCTGCAGGCACTGCTACTTGACAAGGCCTCAAATCCTCCTGGAGGAAGGTAGGCTGAGGGAGAGGAAAGCTACAGGCTGGAGGTCCATCCCAGCAAAAGGGGAACAAGGAGGTGAACTCCTGGAAGGAGCATGAATGTCTGGCTGTTGCCAGGGTGAGGCAAGAATCTGCTGGCCATGGTGAACAGATCTGGGAAGCCGTCTTTTAGAGAGGCTGATGAAGGAACCAGGGTTCCCAGTGAGCAGAAGATAACCATTTTGAGTCTTTGGAGAGGGTAAACCCAGACAGAGAAGTAGATCTCACACAATGAAAACCGCTACCTCGCACCCCCAATTTTGCTTACCACTCCATGGGTTGAAGGGGAGGCAAATGGAGACCACCTGGGCCAACTGACCCACAGGGCTGAGAGGCACCTCTGCTCAGTTCAGTTTCTCTGCCATTCAGCAGAGCCATCAGACGCTAATTTGGCTGTTTCCCCAACTGCACTGATTGGAGTTTGCTGGCACAAGTGGAGTTGGATGCGTTAAATTTTTGGCAGAACTCTGTACTTACTGAGGTAAAGCCTGTCTATTATTTGCAGTAGGCGAAAGAAAGGCAGCTCAGTGTAAATCTGGGACATCCAGTCTTGGCTTTCTTCCAAGCCACAAGCTTCGCTTATTGTTAAAATGTGCCTTTTTGGTGCTTGCTGGGGGCAATCTTAGCTTGTTCCAGATGAGTGGCAAACTGTGAACTTGTGATAAATATTCATAAACTGAGTTAGCCTATATCTATGTACTGTTTTAGGAGCAGCTGAAAAATAGGTTGGTTGCTCAACATTTTGAGTCATTGTCCAGATTTTCTTTGTGGGTGAAATACATTTTCTATTGTGGGTATAAAGTTTCCTTTTTGATTTCTCTATTTTTTTCCTCCTTTCTACAGTCACACTTTATTTCTGCACTGACTGTGGTGTTTGTAAACTCCAAATCGCTTTCTTCACTTAAGATAGATGATACACCAGTAGATGATCCATCTCTTAAGGTCCTAGTAGCTAACAACAGTGATACCCTGAAACTGTTGAAGATGAGCAGTTGTCCTCATGTTTCTCCAGCAGGTGAGCTTACTCTTAGAATATCTCAGTGTAATTATCTTAAATTAGTTTTTTACTGTCCAATCTATGTCAGAATTATTATCACTTATTTTTCCTTAGCACATTCAGTTATATCATAATTGTTTGACTACATATAGTATAACCTATGGAAATACTTGTTTGCATTTTAATTTTTTTGTTTATTTTGGTAGGGTTAAGCTGCCTTAACTGAATCTTAAACTGTTTTGGTGTTCATTGGTTTGCAGCAGAAGCTTATGTAACCAGTGCCAATACTGCTGTCCTATTGAAGAAGTAAAATGACCATTCTGGCTTTCGTGTTGCTTCAATTCAGACATGCGTCTCTAAGGCTAGATATGAATGAGCCTTGTGCCTGTATGTTCACACTACTCTATTCCTCTTCCATTTTCAGTGTATTGCTGTTCAACAGTTTCTGGGTTAATAATAGATTCCTAGTATATTCTAAGTGTCAAACTACGGTTTGCAGGGTCAGAACAAACTAGGATCTTACAGCATTTTCAACATGTGATTTATGATCCCAGTTTATTCTGATTGTGTTTTCCATAGTTTCTCACTTGGGTGTATTGGGAGACTATGATTAGTTCAGGAAGTTCTGAATTGTGGCCCTCTGAGAAGCACGTAAGGATAGGGTGGTGTGACATAATAGATGCTGGTTAATTGCCCTGGCAGTGTTGGATTGTACCAGAGGAATGGGGATACTTGGCTCATGTATAATTTGGCTTAATAAACTGCATGTATAGACTTGACTACTGTGTGTTAGGAGTCAGTTGTCCAAATCAATTACAGCTGTTTCAAAAATCTGTATTTGCATGTCACGCTGAGTCATAGTATGAATGTTGCGAACAGCCCTGTGATCTTCAGATGAAGGGCGGTATACTACTACTACTACTACTGATGATGATGATGAGACATTTTGGAAGTGAATTCACATTCTAACATTTTCTTTTCTTCTCAAGGTATCCTCTGTGTGGCTGATCAGTGTCATGGTTTACGTGAGCTGGCATTGAACTACCACCTGCTAAGCGATGAGCTCCTCCTTGCTTTGTCTTCTGAAAAACACGTCAGATTGGAACACTTGCGCATTGATGTAGTCAGTGAAAACCCTGGACAGACGCACTTCCACACAATTGAAAAGAGCAGTTGGGATGCTTTCATCAAACATTCTCCCAAAGTGAACTTAGTCATGTATTTTTTCTTATACGAAGAAGAGTTTGATCTGTTCTTCCGATACGAAATACCAGTCACTCACCTTTATTTTGGGAGATCAGTAAGCAAAGAAGTGCTTGGCCGGGTTGGGATGACGTGCCCTCGCTTGGTTGAACTGGTGGTGTGTGCCAATGGATTACGGCCACTGGATGAAGAGTTGATTTGCATTGCAGAGCGCTGTAAGAATCTCTCAGCGATTGGCCTTGGGGAGTGCGAAGTCTCCTGCAGTGCCTTTGTGGAGTTTGTTAAGATGTGTGGTGGCCGCCTGTCTCAGTTGTCTATAATGGAGGAAGTCTTGATTCCTGACCAGAAGTATAGCTTGGAGCAGATTCATTGGGAAGTGTCAAAACATCTTGGTAGAGTTTGGTTTCCAGACATGATGCCCACCTGGTAGTCTCTGACGAAGGCACCTTACCTTTTGAGCCTACCATGTTGCAGCTTAATAACATAAGCTAATTTGTAGTTTGTAATATGTTGTAGAAAACTCACGTGCTACTTAATGTTGGTTTCTAAAATGAACATTTAAAAGGGGAGACTGAGGGTGTTCTGACACACTTGCCCATAAAAAAACTTTTTAGTTTTCTTTCCCCCTCTTGAGACAGGGTCTACCTAAATGTATGTAGAAACTGAAAATAGTGAACTGATGTTCAGATGCTGTAGCTCAGACTTTACTCTGATAAATGTCAGTATTTAAACTAACTTTAGGAACTGCAATTGACCTTACAGACGGAAGTACAATTTGTAAAGGGTGGAAGGTCGCTTTTCTTGTAGACTCTTGGAGTTACTAACGCTACCTGGGGCATGTTATACTCAGCTATTTATCCTATGGAATTGCAGATTACATACAACAGAATGTAAGGTACGACATGTGAAGACAGAGCAATACAGCCTACATAGTTGAATTGTATATAGAAAATGCTTATTAAATCACTTTAGAAAATATTTTTGTGTGTAAAAATTACTAGTAATGAGTTTTTCAAAAGCTTATTTGTTGCACTTTTGAAGACCTAAATTTGACGTTTATAGGGTGTTAAAATCTGTGCATAAACCTGTTTTAAGGTATTATTAAAGCTCAGGAAGATGAAGTATTATAGGAGGAGTATGCTGTATATTGATTATGGCTCAAGATTGGTCCCCCGCCCCCCGTCTAACTGTTCTACAGCATTGACTTTTAGGAATTACGCTGTTTGTATTTCCTCAATAATAAACAAAGCCAAATGTTTGTACAAAATAGTTAAATGGAATAAATGGTTTTTAGTGTAAAGAAGAAAGTAATTATTGCCTGGACTCCACTGCTACCAGAAAGACATGGGGCAAGTAAGGTGTGGGTGGTTGCTGCCATTCTGCCTGAACAACAGCTACATTTTCCTAGCTAATGGTGCAAAAGAGATCAGTTACTGATCAAGAGAAGCACAAGCACTTGAGCAGTTTTATTTTCCTTCCATAGCAGCCACCTCTCACACCTAAAGGATGACTTTTCAGATGGTTCAGATGATTTTGAGGGTGGTGTTGTTAGAAGGGAAAAGTCGCCTTGCGTGTGCCGAAAACCACTCATGTCTAAGAAGAGCTATAAAACTTTCTATCAGTCAGGATCAAAAGAACTGATCAACTTAATCCAGTGGTCTTTAAACTAGTCCCACAAATGGCAGTTCCCCTCGCCCATTGCTACATGGGAAACTGGCTGTAATGCTCTCCTCCATTTCAAAACTATTTTGAGATCTAGAGGGAAAACAATAATAATAATAATAATAATAATAATAATAATAATAATAATAATAATATTTTTATTTGTACTCCGCCACTCCTGGCGGCTTCCAACAAAATATTAAAATATAATAATCCATCAAACATTAAAAGCTTCCCTAAACAGGGCTGCCTTCAGATGTCTTCTAAAAGTCTGGTAGTTGTTCTTCTCTTTTGACATCTGTTGGGAGGGCGTTCCACGGGGCAGGTGCCACTACCAAGAAGGCCCTCTGCCTGGTTCCCTGTAGCTTTGCTTCTTGCAGTGAGGGAACCGCCAGAAGGCCCTCGGCGCTGGACCTCAGTGTCCAGGCAGAATGATGGGGGTGGAGATGCTCCTTCAGGTATACTGGTTTGGGTGTTTTTTAAGTATAAAATTGCATTAGTCCCATTCTTCATAATGGCACCGCTTCCATATTCTTCAGCATTAGCACATTTTGCCAAGAAAACCTACTGCATTGCTGTTACGAACTTGAAGTGTGGTGCAGTGTGTAGCTTGTATCTACATCAAAAATATTTTCGAAATATTTCTTTGAGCAGTCTCTTCTTCCAGCAGTGTTTAGTAAGAGAAACGTCTCCAGAGTAATGAAGACTAGGTTTGAAGGCCTACACAAATTAGGCCAAGAAAACACTATGCCAGAGTCTAAACAAGCTTTTAAAAGGAACCTGAAGGTGTGGGAGGCAGACGTAGTGAAGGTTTAAGTGGTAATGCAGGATACATTTTAAGGTTTGACTAAGGACCCATTCCATGGTATGCGAAGAAAGATATACCTTTAATTAAAAGCGTTAACGTTTAAAAAACCAGCAACTTTATGTATTGAATCAGAAACACATTTTGGCACCTGTTTTTGTACATGTTTACCTGGACAGATTCTGATATTTTCAGAAGTATTACTTCTCAAAAAAATCCAACAAAGACCATGATGTGATACAGAGTAAGTGATAAAACTTCGCATGCACTTTCTATTAAGATTCCATCAAATAAAAAAAAAGTACGGATTTTATATTTTGAGTGTAGGATCCTCTTGTAATTAAAAAATGTACCCATTTTAATTACTGCCAAATATACCAGACGTATAGATGAGAGTGAACTGTAAGACTATGATTCAAAGAACATTTTGCTCAATGGACTCTACATCTGAATAGGATACAAGTTTCTGTAGATCTTTATCGAATAGGCAGATTTTATCTGAATTTGTTTAAAATAACACTTTAAATGTCCTTTTCGATTCTAAAATGTACTTGGTTTCTGGGTGGTTTTTGAAATGAAAATTAAGTAATATTGTTTCCATCCTTATGGTGTTATTTTCGGTTGTGTGAATGAGCATCTTGATACTTTGAAAAGTGCCCCTGTGTAGCTGCCTGTTTTACCTTTCTATTTCATTATAGTATTGTTAATAATGGCTGCTTTCTCCCTACCCCATAGCAATCAGGTATAAACTTAGCAGCAGAGCAAAGCTAATATTATCCAGGTTTCTGTTATATGAATGAGTGTTCCTCCTCCATGTGATTTCCCTTTCTGTTCTATAAAGTTGGCTTAGATCTAAAGAAACTTACTCTGATCTACCTTCCTGGAGAGGTTGTTCTGGAGGTCTGTTCTTAACCTGAAACTGTTCTTAACCTGAAGCACCATTTTAGCTAATGGGGCCTCCTGCTGCCGCGCGCAATTTCTGTTCTCATCCTGAAGCAAAGTTCTTAACCTGAGGTACTATTTCTGGGTTAGCGGAGTCTGTAACCTGAAGCGTATGTAACCCGAGGTACCACTGTACAGTAAAAAAATTGTCTTAAGTAAATAAAAACTTAGCTCATTTTGATACATATTTATCTGCTAGATAGGCCAATACTGAACAGTGCTATTCCTTAGGCCAGTTTAAACAGCCAGACCCGATTTGCTCTTCCCCAAGGATTTTACGCTCACTAACCCAAGTTTCCATTTAAGATGTAAAACACTGGCACAAACTGTCCCAGTTACAGAGATAAGACCTCTGGGTCAGTAGTTAAAACTTTAATCCAAACTATAGGGATTATGGACGAACAAAGGACATGAAATTTTAATCCAAAGCAAGAAATATTTTTAAAAGCAAGGCACGTAACTTCATTGTGATTAGAAGTTTTGCAACACACAAATTGACACTGCCAACTCATTGAGCCTATTTTGAAAAACTTTGTAGTTCAAGCAACAGCACAGATCAGCTGGCATTCATCCAGGAAAAACATCCTTTAGAATTGCAGCAACCTATAAATTTAACACACCTGGAGTAAGTAGCAGCTACTTAAAAGTGCTTAAGCAGATCCCCATAATTGTCTTAAGGTTGACCTCAAGGTTAGGAATGTATGTGCAGCCACATTCCTATTTTCTATTCTATGTGATTGTCCAATGCTAATGGCTTAGTAAGCATCCTTGAAAACCATTTTTTCCCCACATACTTCTGCATGCCAGCATTACTTGAATCTCCTGTCCACTCCTGCAGCTCTACCAGCAGGCATCCCCAACCTTTGGCCCTCCAGATGTTTTGGCCTACAACTCCCATGATCCCTAGCTAACAGGACCAGTGGTCAGGGATGATGGGAATTGTAGTCCAAAACATCTGGAGGGTCAAAGGTTGGGGGATGCCTGCTCTACAGAGTGCTACAGTGAGGGTAATAAAATGAAAATAGGTGGGTGAATCACTCAGGAGGGCTGCTCCCACGTTTAAATGCAACCATTCAAATCAGGTACAGGGCACATAATGAGAACTGTACAATAATTATTTACCACCCTTATTCACCCACATTGGTTCCAGTGCATACATCAAGTGTCTCTGGAAGTCAAAGGAAAATTGAAGGCTTGGAAAAGAATCTCATTCCCTCACACAGTTAAAGGTGAAATAGCTTAGGTTTGATTCATTCATTTCCCTGTGCAGATAACCTTTTCAGCGTTAGTAAAAATCCAGGTATATCCTAGTAGTTTCGGGCATCTTTGTTAGCCTGAAAGACATCTGAGGCAACTCAGCATAAAATGGGTTTGGGGGTTTTATTTTGCTTTTTTTGGGTCTTTGTACCCAAAAAAAAAAGTCATTACGAAAAACTACACGCCCAACTTTGTGCTGTTTGAATGAGGCAATGGGATTTCTTCATAGGCTATTTTCATGAAAGGATATTTCATTGGCAGAAACCAATATTCCAAGTTATAGAAGAGGTAAAACTGATGGTCCACAGCCACTTCATCAAATATCCTCAAGAGGTTTAGAAAGAACTCTTTGACGGAATGATAAGGTTTGAAAGGAGAATAGAAGTCTCTAATGGCCAGAGCTAGCGTTTTGTTTCCGTGTGGTCCAAATATAGCTGTTTCATTTCCAAAGCAGACGGGCTCTCCACTGAAGAGTGTAATAGTGGTGTAATTCGTTTGTATCTTCTTAAAAATGGCCCCCAGCTCAGCTAGCTTTTGGTATGTCCTCTGGACAAACTTGGAGCATTCGTAAGGCTCAAACCACACTCTGGCCTGCTCTTCCGGGCTCTCTTTGACCATCCACGTCTCATAGTAAATGCCAGTTTCGTTGTCATATTTCACCCATTTTGCCATTTGATTAAACATAGCTCCTGTGCAAGAAGAAGAAAACACAATATCACACTACGGGAAGGAGATAGGAGAATCATATCTGCACAGCTGAATACTATCTGTGCTTTCAAATCACCTGCTTAATTCTGCAGCCTTTCCCACCTTTTTCTTCCCAGCAGCTCAGCGTAGCGTACATAGTTCCCTCCTCATTTAATCCCCACAACAATCCTGTGAGGTATAGGTTAAGCTGAGAGACACCCAAGGGCTCTCAGTTGGCTTTATGGCAGAGTATGGGCTTGAACCCGTGTCTCCCAGGGTTTGACGCACTAACCACTACACCCCACTGGCTTTCAGTGTTCCCTGACAGGCTGGGCTGATGCTCCTATGCAAGCATAGCAGTCACTTTTTGAAATTTATTTCAGAAGGAACACCAGAATGCTTGGTGTAAGCACATGATGACAAAGAATCTGTGTCCACGAAGTGTTCAAATCTGAAGACCTCTGGAGATCTTCCCAGTTCCACAGAAAACAGAGGAATGGCTCTAACTATCAGGAGTTCGGCCTACACTCGAGTAGGACCCTGGCAGAGACACATGCCCGACTGGCATGTTCTCTCCCTCCTGGTTGATCGTTCGAGAGCTTCAAAAGCTTTCTTCAGCCCGAACATCACAGCGACTGATGCCAACAGACATCGGCACACTTAGGGTTCCACAGAGTTTGCGCATCTTGCGTAACAGACCTCAGCCACTCAGCATTTTGGCTAATCTACTTTATTTACATATAAACACACATGGAGCACTGCAACATGGCTCCCTCTCTCTCTAGCATGAGACAGCAAAGAGCAAAAGAACAAAGGACAATAGTCCCACTTCATGGAACACAGTAACACAAACAATTTGCAAAGATACTGTATTTTTCGCTCTATAAGATGCACCAGACCACAAGACGCACCTAGTTTTGGGAGGAGGAAAACAAGAAAAAAGAATATTCTGAATCTCAGAAGCCAGAACAGCAAGAGGGATCGCTGCGCAGTGAAAGCAGCAATTCCTCTTGCTGTTCTGGCTTCTGGGATAGCTGCGCAGCCTGCATTCGCTCCATAAGACGCACACACATTTCCCCTTACTTTTTAGGAGGGAAAAAGTGAGTCTTATAGAGCAAAAAAATACGGTATATGGATATACAGTAACACGCTCAGATTGCTTACTGGCCTGAACCAAGCCCAAAATAATCATCATGCACCAACAACTTCTGAATCTCACCCACGTCAACAAGCTCCATGAGAATGTTTGCATGTTTACCTGAGATTGTGGTCACCAGAACCAAGGTCCCGTTCTCCTTCCAATGGGCGTCATCTATTCCTTCATAAAAGCAGGCGGCCCCCTGATTGCACCAAAAAGGGGCAAGCAAATTGGGCCGGAGATGAGGAAACGTGCAGTTCCCCAGCTGGAAAAGCTCATACCACTCCATTGTGTAGTTCTTCCCCGATAAGGAGCTCTTGAAACCAACAGCGTCGTGCATGATCTTCTAAAAGAAAGGAATAACCAACACAAGTGAAGGCATGCCTTCGTTCATCATTCCACATTTCTTTTCTCTCTGTAAGGACTCTAACTCAGGGGTGGGGAGCCAGTGTGGTTGGTTGGACCAGAGCTCTCATCAGCACCACCTAGCAATGGTCAGGGACAATGGAAGCTGGCAGTCCAGAAACATCTGAAAAGCCACAGGTTTCCCCTTACTGCTCCAAGGCAGTGTTAGAAATTAGCCAGGCACGTTTTACGGCTGGCGCGGGTCCAAATGCGACCACATGGAGCTCTCTGGATGCCGGATTGGCAACTGAAATCTCTCTCTTTTTTCCTATAATTTTTATTAAATTTTCTGTTTTACATTTTAGAATATTCATTTAAACAACCTTAAAATATCAATGATTTCCCTTCCTCTCTTTCCATGGTTCATTTTGCACAACATAAATCCCTGCATATTTTATATAAATTAATCCATTCAGTACTCCATTATTACATCCATCAAAACTTATTTACACTGTTGAATTCCTCTTAATGCTGCCCACGTTTTCAAATATACACAGTTTTCCTCCATATATTCAATAAACATTTTCCAATCTTCTTTAAACATATGTTCTTCTTGTTCTCTTATTCTAAATGTTAGGTCCGCAAACTGCACATATTCCATCAGCTTAAGTTGCCATTCTTTTTTAGTTGGGACTTCACTCCTTTTCCATTTTTGGGCTAACAAAACACGGGCCACAGTAGTGGCATACATAAATAACCTTTTTTGACACCTGGGAATTTCCCCCAACGAAAAGGACTCTGGTTTTTTTGGGAAAGTACTTTTAAACATTTTTTTCAATTCATTATGAATTATTTCCCAATACTCTTTTACCCTTTTATGGACTTTTACAGGTCCATCACATAAGATAGATATGTGGTGGCAACTGACATCTCCATCTGGCTGACCCCTCCAGCTTTCTTAAGCAGGTACACAGAAGAGCTTATTCACAGCATTTATATCCCCCCTTTTTTCTCTCCAAGAAGTACATGGTTCACCCCACTCCTCAGCTTATCCTTACCATGACCCTGTGAGGGAGGTTAAGAGGCTGTGACTGGCTCCAAGGTGAGCTTCATGACTGAGCAGGGATTCAAACCCTGAGCTCCCAGGTCCTAGTTTAACACTCTACCCGCTGCACCACCCTGGCTTCCTAGAGTACTACTGCTATATAAATTAAATAGGTGAATAAATATGGGGAAAGGATCTGAAGTATTTTCCTGGAAGCTTGCAATTTATTTTGGATTGTTTTATTGGATGCTTCAATGTGTTGTAAATCGCCTTGCGATTTTTAAAAATTTTAATTATAAAGCGGCACAGAAATGAATAATAAGAATAATAAATTGCAGTGTAAAAAAAAAAAAATCATTGCCGAGAAATTCCATCGTGGTGATCATAACCTAGGTGTCAGGTGCCATCTGGCGATTAGCTTACATATCTGAGTTTCTAACACTGCTCTAGAATCCTATGAACACTTACATGGGAGTAAGCCCCACTAAATACAATTGAGACGTGAGTCTAAGTATACACACAGAGGATTGAACAGTAAGAGCATGGGTCAGCAAACTTTTTCAGCAGGGGGCCGGTCCACTGTCCCTAAGACCTTGTGGGGGACTATATTTTGAAAAAAATAAATAAACAATGAACGAATTCCTATGCCCCACAAATAACCCAGAGGTGCATTTTAAATAAAAGCACACATTCTACTCATGTAAAATCACCAGGCAGGCACCACAAATAACCCAGAGGTGCATTTTAAATAAAAGGACACATTCTACTCATGTAAAAACATGGTGATTCCCGGACCATCCGCAGGCCAGATTTAGAAGGCGATTGGGCTGGATCCGGCCCCCGGGCCTTAGTTTGCCTACACATGGGTAAGAGCTTGACCCACTGCATGCATACTCAAAAGTAAATCATGCTTAAGTTTCAATTGGCTTTGCTTCTAGGTAAGTGTTCACAGAGCTACCACAATCTAGAAATTGCAAATTCCAAAACAAAAGCAACTATGAGAATCAGTGAGCCATACTTTGCACAGCTCGTAAGGCTAATTGGCCAATTATGCTGTCGTAATGGGGTTTTTTGTAACATGCCTTGGATGGCAGGAAAGGCAACACTATGAATGCCATAAAATAACAAAGCAATCTGGGGAAATGGCGCAGTTCCAGGAAGTGGACGTCCCGTGATTTCTCTGCACGAACATAGAAACTTTTACACGCTGAATATCTGGAAGGAGGGGGTGAATCACTGTCACATGCCAGTGACTGGCATTAGCCAGGAATAGTAATAAAACAAAAAATAAAAATCGCCTGAAAGTGCCATTTAAAGATTGCTTCTTTCAAAGCTGTTACTTAAAAATTCTCAGAACATTTTCTAACACTCTCCTGTTGCCAGAGAAGTGGTAAACAATGTTTTCTGAATATATTTACACGGTCTATAGTTAATCAAATTAACAATGTCAGTTCTGTATTGCACGTTTTGAAATCTAGGTTAATTGGGATGCAAAAGGCTGACAAAACAGAGGAGGAGGAGCCGCATGTCACTTTACCATATGACCAAGGAGAGCTCCATATTTGAATTCCCAGACAGGCGCCTGTAACCGAAATACTTCCAGGACATCGTCATCTCTCATCACCGGAATGGGAGAGCCAGTTGGGCAGAAAGTGTAACGAGCCTGGCAGTAGGCATCTGTTTTAGGGCGGTAATCAAAACGCCTGCATTAAAATAAATAAATGTGTTGTTTTTTAAAAATTTTCATTTTAACCCAAAAGTTCAGATTAGAAGAAAGAAACGGCCATAAACTGGAAGTCATCTCTTGCTTGGACATCTCTTGAATTTTCTCTCTCGCAGAGCTACATCCCATAATTATACTTAATCTCCCCATTTTGAGACTGCTCAGCCCCTGACAAGTCACCACTGCATGCCCATGAGTCATCTGTGTTGAAAAAGCGTCCCATCTGGAACTCTGCATTGCTCGCACCTGGCTGTTAACCATAAGGCTGGTGGTTCGAGACCACCCAGGGATGCCTGTAGGCAGGGTTCCTGCATTGCAGCGGGTTGGACTAGATGACCCCGGATCCCTTCCAGCTCTACAATTCTATGATCCCACTCTGGACATCTGAAGCTCCACTGACACAACAAGGCTTCTTCTTTTCCTCCCCCTGGCACCACCCTTCCCCAAATATGCTCAGAGGGTCCCCCATATTTAGGGGGGGGGGCAGGGGAGAGGAGGGGAAAGTTCTCCTGCGCAAGCACAAACCTGAACGACAGGACTGCATGCAACCCCTTTGTTCCACTTTAGGCACAGCCCGGATGCTTGCAAATCCTAATTTTTGGACGGGGAGCCCAAACCTCTCTTGCCATCCCCTGGAAGTGAGCCATCACCGCACCTGCTATAGTAGGCGGCCGCGGGGGCGGGGGATCCTGCCCGACGACCCTCTCCCCTCCCCTCTCATTCCTCTCACCTGTAAGGCACGGGCCACCCCTGCTGCCCCGGAGAGCCGCACGTCGAGCTGCAGGGCGTCTCCAGCTGCAGCAGCAAAAGCAGCGGCAGCCACAGACGCGGCGGCTCCCCGCCTGCAGCCATGACGCAGCTCCCCCGCAAGCAGAAAGCAAGCGGCGCAGGGCAGGCCAGCTCCGCTTCCGCGTTTCTCTCGCCCGCCCAGCGGTCAGCTGAGCGCAGTTCAGCCCGTCACATGCCGAGGGGTCGGGCACATGCTCACTGCGGAAACCTCCCAGACGCTTTTGGCAAGAGCGCCTGTTGTCGTTTCTCGGCCTCTAGCTCTGGTTTCTGTCCCGCGATCGCGATGGGGGAATCAGATCTCCCGGTTTTCTCAGCCCCACCGGGTCGTTTTTGGTTTGCGCATGGAGAAGGAAGCCTTTATACGGAGGGTCACCTGTCACGGATGCTTCAGCTGAGATTCCTGCATTGCAGGGGGTTGGACTAGATGACCCCTGGGTCCCCTCCAGCTCTACAGTTCTGTGATTCCATATCTCTGCTGTAGTTTTTTTGGGTTTCCTTTAGGTGCAGTGGCCGGAGAGCGAGTAGGTCGCCTTGCACAAGGCGTCGGATCCGGGGGTGCAGTTTAGGCTTCTAAAATCTCCACGCTTTTAGCTCGTTTCAAATATGTCTCAGCTACCCTTAGGCCAGACAATTTCAGAGAGGTGTTGCAATCTTACAAAGGGAAAAAGTAAACATCATATTGGAGACGCAGCAAAAGCTGTTTCACACGTGAAAAGCTTTTTTATTTTGGACGTGCACGCCGGATCAAACCGCATGTAGTGCGATTATCCTCTTATGTGCTGCAAAATCAGCGCGCATTGCGCATTGCGCTCAGAAACGAAAGGGGAGCAGACGTGTTTGCATCCCAGGCGCGACGCCGTTTCCTGGAGGACGCGAAGTCTTTCCTGTTCTCCCGTCTCCAAGGGTCACAGAAAGCGCCGCCCCGACGGCTCTTCTTCCGGACCAGCAGGGGGCGGGTGGGATCCGGCACCAGATCCTTCCTTCCTGCGGCCTATTCCTCCGTGGTCGCGGGGGACCCGCGGGCTAGGATGGGGAAGCGGGTGGCCGTGGTCTTGGCTGGCTGCGGCGTCTTCGACGGCAGCGAGATCCACGAGGCGTCCGCCGTCCTGGTGCATCTGAGCCGGGCTGGAGCGGAGGTGAGGCTGGCGACCCTCTAAAACTGCACACAGGCACACACAGGGAGAGGGAAGAAGACCTGCATATGCTCTCATTCAGTGATAGTTTTTCTAGAAAAAGAGGTGCGAGAACTCACCATGAATGCCTCCCTTGTTCTCTTATAATGGCAATGGAGCCCCCCTGAGAGGTGCTCGAACTGAGCTCCAGTGAGTTATAGCAGAAAAAAAGGCCTTTCTCCCACCCACAGAACGTTTTTCCATGGAAAATGTCTCTTGCCTGTTTCCTGTTCCTTTCTGCGAGGTCAAGCTGTCTTTGGCAATCTCGATGCCTTCAACGTTCTGCTTGCTGGCTTGTAAACAAGCCTCTGTGCGTTCAGCAGAGTTTAGGATTCTGCAAAGGAGTGCATAAGATTGCAGTCTTGAAAACGAAACGAGGCTCCAGTTCTGAGCTCACTAGGCTGTATGTCTCATTGAACTCAATGGGACTTGTGTCTGAGTAAATAGGTTCAGCATCATACTGAATTCCATTAAATTGAAAATACACTGCAAGTTATTTTACTAAACATTGACAAAATATGGTCTGTGACTGTATCACTGGAAAGCACATTCTGCAAACATTTAGTACTGTTTATTTTACAACTTAAAATGAAAACACTATATTCTTGTTTGAACTGGGGTAGATAATAAGATAACTCTTATTTTTAAAAAATGTATCTATATTAAAGGCAACATTTAGCCCTGTTTTAAAGATCTTGTTACCTAATCTTGCTACCTGAAATACCAATTGATGCTGAAATCCCTATGCTTTGTCGTTTTGGAATTTCAGAAACCTCTTGAAATGTTGGTACTTGCAAAATTATCTTGCTTAAAATTGGCAAAAAAAAACCATGGTTAATCTTGACTCTTGCAACTAGCAAAAGTGCTACTTTGTAACACATATGTATTTGTGTTTCCTTTTCTTGTTCAGGTAAAGATATTTGCACCAAATATTGAGCAGATGCACGTTGTTGATCATTTGAAGGGTAGTCCAAGTGAAGAAAAGAGAAATGTTTTAGTTGAAAGTGCTAGACTTGCAAGAGGGGACATCCAGGATTTGGCTGAGTTGAAAGTCGGTGAATTTGATGCAATTATTTTTCCAGGTGAGCATTTTTTAAAAAATAAACTAATCAAACCTGCAATCCTATATGCCTGGGAGTAAGCTCCATTAAATTCCACAGGATTTGCATTTGAAAGGACATGTTTAGGATTGCGCTACAAATGAATTAGTTTAACACTCACTTATTTGTGAACCGTAAAAATCATTTGCACCAGTTCAGTGTGCTCAGCACTGTGAGCTGGGACTCTATAACTAGATTCTAATACCGCACCTCACTGCAACAATACTCTCTCCCGCAAAGCATAGTGCATTTTATTTACCATATTTTTTGCTCTATAAGACTCACTTTTTCCCTCCTAAAAAGTAAGGAGAAATGTGTGTGCGTCTTATGGAGCGAATGCAGGCTGCGCAGCTATCCCAGAAGCCAGAACAGCAAGAGGGATTGCTGCTTTCACTGCGCAGCGATCCCTCTTGCTGTTCTGGCTTCTGAGATTCAGAATATTTTTTTTCTTGTTTTCCTCCTCCAAAAACTAGGTGCGTCTTGTGGTCTGGTGCGTCTTATAGAGCGAAAAATATGGTATTTAGTTTATTAAATTTTTATACACAAATACACAACAAAAACCAACCAATAATCCCCATTTCTACATTCCACATTTATTTATTTTATAAATAAATAAATAAATTTTAAAAAATGAAAGTGGTTTGCACAATTCTAATGCACACGATAAAGGCCACATAAAACATTTTTTGTTTTGGTTTTTCAAATTTTTTTTATTGCTTTTCCAAATTTATAAGAAAAAGAAAAGACATTACAAAACACAGCAAAAGAAAACACATTACAATACAAAAGAAAAACATAAAAAGAATTATGTCTTCCAAAACCCAAATTGCCTTACATTGTTAATTGACTTCCTCAAGTCCCCCCAACTGAATTTCATTGTATCACCTTGTAAGAGTTCTCCAAAATCATATTTGTATTGAAATTGGCTCCTTCCATTTACTATCCTCCTTTCTTTTATTAGTATTCTAGTCCTTAATGTTTTACAGCACATTCTTATTCTAAGCCTAAGCCTATTTACCGTATTTTTCGCTCTATAGGACGCACTTTTTCCCCTCCAAAAATGAAGGGGAAATGTGTGTGCGTCCTATGGAGCGAATGCAGGCTTTCCCGGGCTTCCTGCAGCTCCGCGCCACCCTCCGGATCCCGGCGCGAAGCCGCACGGGGCTCCGGAGGGTAGCGCGGAGCTGCCTGAGCTCCAGGGCTTCTTGCAGCTCCGCGCCACCCTCCGGATCCTGGCGCGAAGCCGCGCGGGGCTCCGAAGGGTGGCGCGGAGCTGCCTGCGCTCCAGGGCTTCTTGCAGCTCCGCGCCGGGATATTCTTTAAATTTCTTCCAGTCTTCTTGTGTCTCTTCCTCTTTCTGGTCCCGGATTCTTCCAGTCAGGGCGGCCAGCTCCAAAAAGTCCAACATCTTCATCTGCCAGTCATCTATTGTTGGTATTTCTTGCGATTTCCAATTTTTGGCCAATAAAAGTCTTGCCGCTGTAGTGGCATACAAAAACAGTCTAACATCTTTTTGGGCAGTTCTAGTCCTATTATTCCAAGGAGAAAGGCTTCTGGTTTCTTAATAAATGTGTTTTTCAACATTTTTTTCAATTCATTATAAATTTCCCCCCCAGAAGTCTTTCACCTTAGGACACATCCACCACATATGGTAAAAGGTACCTTCTTTTTCTTTGCATTTCCAACATTGGTTATCATTTGTATGACACATCAAACATTTTTTGAAAATAGATCACAAACTATTACAAAGCGGGGGAAATCAGCAAAATGTTCACCATAGAAGATGCCTTCTCAATCTCTACTGGAAGAGCGCTCCACAGGGCCGAACCAATTTTGTGCCAATATCAAATAAGCGTTGTCTCATTGGGTGACAAAACAGCGGCGCTGCTGTGTTGGATGAGGCAATAATGGGAAGTTTCTTCTCGACATAAACGAGTAAGCTCTTATCTTTTCCCCCTCCCTTCAAGGGGGCTTTGGCGTAGCGAAGAACTTGTGTTCCTGGGCGGTGGAAGGAAAGAACTGCACTGTCAACAACCTGGTGAAGTCTGCCCTCGAGGCGTTCCATAGCGCAAAGAAACCCATTGGCTTGTGTTGTATCTCCCCTGTGTTGGCAGCGAAAGTCTTCCCAGGCTGTGAAGTCACCGTCGGCCACAACAGAAATGTAGACGGGAGGTAAGGAATTTTGTTTGGAGCATCATCTGATTCTGCGCGCATGCCGATTCTCTGCCAATCACAAGATCCACCTGTTGCAGTGATGTACAGCTTTCTCCAATCTATCATTTTTCTCTGTTGGTTGTTGCTGATTACACTCATCGGTCACTTTGTACAAAAGAAAAAAGACGCAGAGCAACTTAATCGCGTTTATATGTCCTGTTTTAAAACCGGGGCGGGGGGGGGGGAGTACAGTGGTACCTTGGGTTAAGAACTTAATTTGTTCCGGAGGTCCGTTCTTAACCTGAAACTGTTCTTAACCTGAGGTACCACTTTAGCTAATGGGGCCTCCCGCTGCTGCCGCGCCACCATGGTGCGATTTCTGTTCTAATCCTGAGGTAAAGTTCTTAACCCGAGGTACTATTTCTGGGTTAGCAGAGTCTGTAACCTGAAGCGTCTGTAACCAGAGGTACCACTGCACGATACAAAAAATGCTCTTCCTGTAAAATATTAATAAGGACGAGTCCCATCTACCCAACGTCACGCTATATCACATCACGATATACCGACATATCACAATGTCTGAAATAAGGATGGAGTTGGTTTTCAACTTCCAGCTAAACATCAAGATATACTGATATATGACAATGTTCAAAATAAAGATGGAGCTATGTAGAGGCATTGGCTGGCTTCACGGTTTTTAGCACATTGTGATTTCTGCATAGCACACACGCACACACCATGATTCACAATATATTGCCAGGTCAAAAACTATGAAGCCGCTATCACGATATAGACTTCAAACTGGTTTGGGGCGATATATCGCCAGCCCTACTCTGCAGTCCACTTGGGTGAGATCCATGCAGAAGGGTCTCTGATGAAGACCACAGGGTCTGGTCTGGTTCATACGGGGAGGGCCGGTCCTTGATGTATTGTGGTCCTGAGCCTTCCAGGGCATTAAAGGTCAAAGCCAGCACTTCAGCAGTGAGGCAAAGGCAGTTCTTGTTTAACTTCCTTCCCTTGCAGGTTTCCTGATGCTGAAACAGCTGCTGCCATCGAAGAACTTGGCTGCAAGCACATCTGCAAAGACGTGAGCGAGGCCCACGTGGATTCCGCAAACAAAATAGTCACCACTTGCGCGTTCATGTGCAAAGCCCCTTTGCATCAAATTTTTTATGGGGTTGGAGCCATGGTTACCGAAGTCTTGAAACTGGCATGAAGGGGGAAAGCCAGGCTTGGCGGCAGCTGGTAAATGCGTTAACAAATGATGCTTTGGTTAAACATGGTAGAATCAATAAAAATAATTAAGCCACCCGAGATCAAGAGTCTTTATTCAGGGAAGAACTTTGTTTTGCTCAGGGCATGCAAACAATACCTATTTTAGTGACACTTATCAATTGCACCAGCTTTTATAGGGTGAAATCCAAGCTTGCTCTTCTGTCTTGAGTTCCAGCTGAGGGTTCCTGCCAGGGGAAGGCATTTTTTGCTAACTTCTCCCTCCAGCTCCTATTCTGCCTCCTCTACTGTTGCACAGGTCACCTAAACCCTCCGGAACAGCCATCTACCTGCCCCCTACTTTCCACTCCACCTTGCCTGGCACAAGTGGATGCAGCAGTTGCCCCCCTGCTGCCCAACCAGGGTTGGGATTGTCCTGCCAGTGCTATTGTAAAATAGATGTTGGACCACAAGCCAGAAGAAGTGATTGGTAAGCCCCGTCAATTTAATTTAAATTTAAAAAGGAATGCCAGAGTCTTTTAAGTAGTTAGGTGCATTGACAAGAGTAAGAATGCCCGCAGTTGGGCTCAGGCCAAATGTTGGTCCCTAAAGCAATTGTCTCGTGACTGCCCTCTCAGATGGGTTTCCCCTCCAGATTCTGCAAAGCAAAGAGAAAGAGAAACTGAGGCTTCGCATGACACAAAGATCTAACTTTCTACTGACAGTTGCACGTTGGGTGACAGCGTATTTTTGGAAATTGCAGGCTGAGCTGGCCCTTGAGGTTTGGTTCAAGAATATCTGGAACGTGGCTATTTCAGAGCAACTAACTGGGCTTAGAAGGGTCGCGAAAGGTGTTATAAAGAGAGGTATCCCTTCTTTTCATATGTAAGGGACGTAGACAGCAAATTTCCCACACTAATTCCACAAACGTATCTGTGGAGGTCCTATACGGACCATTAAAGCCCTAAGACTATAAAATGGTGCTATAATCTTAATACTATGTTTATTATTTTTGTGTGTGGAGACTATTAGGTAAAGGTAAAGGACCATTAGGTCCCGGCGACGGGGTGAGCTCCCGTTGCTCGGTCCCTGCTCCTGCCAACCTAGCAGTTCGAAAGCATGTCAGAGTGCAAGTAGATAAATAGGTACCGCTCCTGTGGGAAGGTAAACAGCGTTTCCGTGTGCTGTTCTGGTTTCGCCACAAGCGGCTTAGTCATGCTGGCCACATGACCCGGAAGCTGTACGCTGGCTCCCTCGGCCACTAAAGCGAGATGAGCGCCGCAACCCCAGAGTCCTCCATGACTGGACCTAATGGTCAGGGGTCCCTTTACCTTTATTCACCATGAAGTTGTTAAAAAGCGTGGCACGTACTGTAACAACAAAAAAAGAGGTGAGGGTACTGGGTACCCCTGAGTACCCGTGGGGGGAAAAGCACTGGGGGAGGAATAGGGTTGCTGCTCAATTCCGTGCATTCTCACAGGAGTAATGACACTCATTACGTAAGTATTTAGTTTCAGCGTAGTTTGTTCCCATAGTGTTTTACCAAATGCAGATGTGGAGACTGTAATCTCACCTGGAAGGGAAAGGGCTGCTTTCCTTTCCCTTCTCGTGGTTTTACTGATAATTTGTCCCTGGCTGACTGATTCATTCCACACTATTTGTTATTGTTGTTTAGTCGTTTAGTCGTGTCCAACTCTTCGTGACCCCATGGACCAGAACACGCCGGGCACTCCTGTCGTCCGCTGTCTTCTGCAGTTTGGTCAAACTCAAGCTGGTAGCTTCAAGAACACTATCCAACCATCTAGTCCTCTGTCTTCCCCTTCTCCTTGTGCCCTCAATCTTTCCCAGCATCAGGGTCTTTTCCAGGGCGTCTTCTCTTCTCATGAGGTGGCCAAAGTATTGGAGCCTCAGCTTCAGGATCCTTCCTTCCAGTGAGCACTCGGGGCTGATTTCCTTCAGAATGGATAGGTTTGATCTTCTTGCAGTCCATTAAGAGTCTCCTCCAGCACCATAATTCAAAAGCTTCATAATTCAACACATATCTCAAACTGGCAGCTATGGTAAGGGTTTTGGTAATACTTATATTTAAGGATAAGAATCCATACAAGACAGAATACCGCAGAAAACCCACCGGCACATTACAACCCAATTACTGCCGTTTGAGCAATACTGATAAAAGGGCAGCAAACTGCCAAAATGGAATTGGCGTCAGTTAATAAAAAAACATGCAAATTATTTTGATTCAGTCAAGACATTAATTGGCCAAAGCACAGATGATTACACAGCTGCAAATTCTTTAATACTTTGACAAGCCTGCTTTAAAGTTCCTGAGGCTCTCAATTGTTTTGCAGCCAGGGCTATGGTTCTGCCAAAGCAATTCGTTCCTAAATCCCATTCATTTTAGTTGGCGAGTGAAAAGTGCATGCCTAAACGTCCCATTCCTCATGGTATTAGCCCTCAAATACTTCTTACAAAACGGCAGGATTTCCTGAAATTCACACTTGCCGTTGTGCACACGGTATGGAATCAGCTTAGCAGGTCAGCCTGTTCCCCTTGCTTTGCTTTTGGGGAGTATTATATGATGCCATTTGTATGTTTCCATGAAGGAATCCTGAAAGTAGCAATTTTGAAAAGGTGCATCTGAAAAGTGCTGGCCAATTTTGTATTGTTCAGCAAGGCAGAGCTCAAATGTGTGACCTAGCTGTATAACATTTCCCCTCGTTTATGTTGCTGCTGCTATAGTCAATTTAAATTTAAAACGCTAGCTTGAAATCAGAACACAAAGGCAACCGTGGAGAAGAGGGTGGCGAAAACAGGTGAGATGATGTTCCAAAGAAGCTGCCTGCCTTCTTTACACACCAGGGGTGGGAAATCTGTGGCTTTCAAGCTTTTGCTGGAGCATAACTCCCACTAACCCTAAATTTGAGCCATTCAGATGGGCTGGTGCGAACTGTAGTACCAAAACATGCTTGGGGAAGGCTGACCTAGACAGCCACAGGTAATCCATCCCTGCTGTACATCATTATGGTGTACGGAAGAAAGATATTATTATTTGCTCATAATTAAAATACTCCTGTTAAGCACTCACTCAACCCTCTCACTGGAGATAGTTAGCTTTGGCTAGATTATGATCAAGCATAATTTTTTTTTAAAAAAAACCCTATCCTGGACCACTGCTCCTAATGTCTGGGAGTCGTAGATGGCAGCTGTTTTCCAACAACATCTGGAGTTGCCTACCCCTGCCATAACACTAGGTTTCCCCGTGTGAGGTGTGGGGAGGAATTTTAATTGGAAAATGGGATTACTTTCCCTCATCTGGTTCCCTTTCTTCCATCTCCATCCCAGCTTCTGTTTAAGCCAATGAGACATCCTGACTGCACACCTCCTATGTCAAAGATTCACATTAGGGATGTCCGATTTGCTGCTTCTACCACATCAAGGTGGCAAATCTGTTTTTTCGAATTTCTGGCACTGCCGTCTATTACCACCAGAGGGCACTCTAATGCTAGACAGCAAACTGAGCAGCTCCTTCCCTCCCGTTTGAGGTCACAATGCTATAAAATGTAGATATATACTGCAACATTATACATTATACGTATTGTACATATCTGTTTGTCTGTCTGCCTAGGTTACATGTGGCCAGAGGAAGGGACTTTGGGCTTCTTTTCCTTGAACTTCCCCTGACAAATTGCTTCTGAGGTGGGGGGAGCTTTCAAAAGCGCTTTGTGTTGTGGCCCAAGGCTCAGCTATTAAGAAAGAAAGACAGAAAGAAAGAAAGAGAGAGAGAGAGAGAGAGAGAGAGAGAAAGCCATCCCTTTTGATGCTAGACTTTGTCTGCCTCACCTGCCTTTTTCCTTCTATTTGCTGTGTTTTAACAGAAATCTATAACATTCCCCATCCAGAGAATGGACTACGCTGCTGAGAAGAGCCCTGCTGAATCCCACCTGGAACAGAATCCTGTTCTCACAGTGGCCAGCTGGATGCCTATAGGAAACTCTGAAACATATACCTTCCAATACACATTTACCCACCAGCAGGATCTTGCACCTTTGCTAGCGCTATGTCAGTGGCGTAGCGTGGGTTGTCAGCACCTGGGGCAAGGCAAGTAATTTGCGCCCCCTAACCCGTGGATTTTAGTAGGGGCAGAGAGCTGCGAGTGCGAGCGCCCCCCCCTGATGTTGCGCCCTGTGCGGCCGGCCCCCCCACGCTACGCCACTGCGCTATGTACAAACATTTGAAATGCACAATATTGTTGCATCTTGCCCTATCTCCACCCCACTTGTGCGGCAACTGAAATGTCTAGTGGTGCTTCTAGCTGAGGGCTTAATACTGCAAACTGGCCATTCAGAAATTGCAAATGGGACATTGGCAGCAGGTTGTTTTGTTTGTAACTTACCTGATTTCCTGTGAAAACTGTGACTCTGAATATAAAAGGAATGAAACACAGCCTAGCATTTTGATGCTGATGTCATGGGGGTGTATGCGAGAGCAGTGCCAATCCCACAATAAACACCTGTCTGGAAGCAACCGATAATACACCAGAACGCGACGAAATAGGGAAACATACCTTTTAACTCTTCAAAACTGCAGCGGCAGCAGCACATATCGCCTTACCATACAGATGAGACTGTGACTGTTAGGATTCCTGCTCCTTGTTTGCAGTCCTGGGATTGTTGTCTATCACATGACGCTGTATGTTTTTATTCCACAGAGTGGGAAGCGACGGAGACAGGACTGACCAGGAAGGAGAGAACATGCCAGTCGGGCATGTGTCTCTACCACGGTCCTGCATGAGAGTAGGGCAATCCTAACAGTAACATGATAACATAAGACGATCCCTGCTGGATCAGGCCACCTAGTCCGGCATCCTGGGGCTTGTCCACACCTGAGCAATATGTGGCTTTGCACCTGCCTGACTCATTAATAGAGGGACGTCCACATTACGCCCTCCCCATCCCAGTGTTGTCCCAGATCTTTTCCTCACTAAAGGCAAAGATTTTCAAGCTTTGAAAAGTCAGAAATGGCCACCATGTGTAGTGCTCCCCCCCCCCCCGGGGGTATTCAATACCCACACCTTCCCCCCCTTCCCCATGTTAAAAGTGTGGCACTTATTGTAACAACTTCATGGTGATTACCAGCACCGGTTTTTTCCTTAAAAAACAAACAAACAAACGACAACAACAATAATAATGAATTTTTATTTATACCCCGCCCTCCCCGGCCAGAGCCGGGCTCAGGGCGGTTAACACCAGTAAAATTACAATAGTAATAAAAAAACCCAATTTAAAATACAGGTTAAAATATAATTTAAAATGCAGCCTCATTTTAATAGTAGCCCATAGATCAAGACCATAAGGGGAGGGAAACATAAGGGTCAGACTGAGTCAAAACCAAAGGCCAGGCGGAACAGCTCTGTCTTGCAGGCCCTGCGGAAAGATGTCAAGTCCCGCAGGGCCCTAGTCTCTTCTGACAGAGCGCTCCACCAAGTCGGGGCCAGTACTGAAAAGGCCCTGGTCCTAGTTGAGACCAATCTCCCAAACACTGGGAGACCCACATGTGTTTCTTTTTTCATGCATTGCCTTTGGTAAAAATTACTTAGCATAAATTTACTCTAGAATTGGGCACCTCTGCCTCAGCTTTCTATATATGTTGGGGACTAACGCTGAACAGCCACACACACACACACACACACACACACACACAAATACTGAGGCGCCCTTGAGATTTGTGCACCTTCATTTTGCATGCAGAGACCACGAGCGCAGCTGGCAGGAGCCTCAGGAGCCTGGCCAGCAAACCCTGCTCCCCGCTTCCCCACATGCCGCCCGCGCACCCGCCTGCCCTCCAACAGGACACCCCGGCTACGCTCTGGTTACAACAACCCTGTAAAGTAGGCCGGTACTATGCGCTCCCCAAACTGCAGCTGAACCCCTCGCAGATTACCACTGCTTAAAAGCCTCCAAGGAAGGAGAGTCCACCACTGTCCCAGAGAGTCTTACCATCAGGAAGTTCTTCCTAATGTTTGGTCCGAATCTCCTCTCCTGCCCTCCCCTCTGGAGCAGCAGAAAACAAGCTTGCTCCCTCTTACAGCCCTCAGATACTGAAAGATGGCTCTCCCCTCTCCTCTCAGTCTCCTCTTCTCCAGGCTAAACATACCCAGCTGCCTCAACCGTTCCTCATGAGGCTTGGTTTCCAACTGCCTCAACCATTCCTCATCAGGCTTGGTTTCCAGACCCTTCATCATCCTGGTCGCCCTCCTCTGCTCACCTTCCAGCTGCTCAATATCCTTCTTCAACTAGCCTGCACTAACTGGCAGTAGCTCTCCAGGGTTTCAGATGGAGGGGACATTCCCAGCCCCCCCCCCCCAGAGATGCTGCCCAGGACAGAAGACCTGCATGCAAAGCAGATGGTCCAATCCTGTGCTATGGAGACCCCTAGCCTGCCTTGAAGGATGTGGGGATGGTCTCCCTTTGGAAAAGGGGCTGCAGGAAGAAGGATGTGAAATGCCGACATGAATCTGCCAAGAGAAGATGCAGCCCAGCTGCAGGCGGAACAGAAGGTGCCTCCAAGTTCTGACAGAGGAGCATCACCTCTCAGAAGGGGCCGGGTCCAGGTGGAGGGGTTGCCATGGTGACCTGCCCTCCTTTTGACATCTCTTGCTCTTCCCTTAAAAGCCTCTGACTTGCAGGCGGCCATTGTGGGTTAGTGAGGAGAGGTCAGGAGAGAGAGGTAGTGGTGGTGGTGGTGGTGGTTGTAGAAGAGGAGAGGTTTGCTTGCTATTTTTCTTTTATTTATTACTTTTATTTGATTCATTTTATTTTATTCTATTTTATTTTTATTTTTTATTTTACCTTTTTATTTTTTATTTTTTGTGCACATTTGTGTGCATTTGTGCGGATTTGTGCGCATTTTTGAATATATTTGTTTATAGAGGAATAGTTAGGGGTAAGTGTAGGGTTAGGGTGGGGGTTAGGCTTGGGGTTATGGCTGGGTTTGGGCGTGGGATCAGAGTTTGGGATCAGGCTTGGGTGGGAATTTTAGATAGGTAGTTAGCTTAGAATGGAGGGGGGATTTTTCGCAAAGAAGATGTGCAGACTGTAAGTACCATTCCTTTGCTTTCTCTTGGTCTCCTGGGGGTGGGGTGTGAGTCCTGGGTCCCCTCCACAGCTTTAGCTCTCTGGTCCACCAGGGGGCTTCATGGCTGAGTGGAGATTTGAACCCTGCTCTCCCAGGTCCTCCCAGTCCAGCCCTCCAACCACTCCAGCTCTGCCTGGCTCCATTTTGCATCTCTCCAGCTGCCCTACAACATTGGCCTTCTCCCCCTTCCTGGGGGTCTCTCTGGCTCCAAGAAAGACTCTACCCCCTTCCTCATGTTCTGCTCCTCTTCTGGGACACCTTGATGCTTGGAGGACCCTCCTAGGGGTCTCCTCCCTCTCCAGGAAGGGCAGGGCTGTCCTAAGAAGACGAGGCAGAGCAGCTCTTTGACAGCTGGCAATGCTTGTCTTTCCTTTGGGCTGGAGTTCTTGAACCCATAGCACTAGGGACCTCCTTTCTCTCTCTGCCAGCCATTCGTGCTCTGGGCTGCCTCTTTCCAGCTCTGGCGATGACCTTTCAGGTCACAGAACTGCAGAGAGATGGCAGGAATTGGGCCAGACGCCCCTCCTCACACACACACACACACACACGAATTGGGGCTGCCAGCTTCTGAGTCGCTCTCTCTGCTCGTCTCTTCTAGGTTCAGGTGCCTAAGGCGGCTGATCAGCTGCAACAAGGTAGCCCCCTTGGAAGTCCTGGAGCAGCCCGCGGTGTCAGGTGAGCAAGTGGCCCTCCTTTTGGGGACGGAGGAGGGCAGGAATGGGCTAGGGGTGCATCTAGTAAAAAGATGCACAGAGCCAGATGGCTGGATCCAACCTGCCTATCTGCGACAGCATCTGGAAACCCAATGCCCCCCCCCAGCGGTGGGGTCTGTTGGAGGAAGCAGGGGGCTGGGCTGTTGGGCACGGCAGGGGGACAGTTGTCAGTGGGAGGGGCATCTTCCCTGGGGAGCCATGTTCTGGGGGCAGGAGGTCAGGATTGGCCCCCAAGGCCTGGGGTGTCCCTCTCCTGTAGTAGGACTTGGAATCCAGGAGAAAACTCTTGGAAAAGCCTTGCAAGGGGCTCAGGGAGGAACTCACCTGTCCCCATGTCCTTCTCTTTGCAGATGTGCTAGGAATCCACATCCCTTCCGCTGTGGTGAGTATTGGATAAAACTAGAGCAGGGAGGGGATCCCTCAGACCTGCCCCCCTCTTGCACTCCACTCTGCACTCTCAGATGTGGAGGAGCCGTCCCCCCACAAGGAACTGACAGCCTGACTTTTGCCTTTCAGCTGCTAGACAAAGATCAGCTTTATCTCCTGGGCATCATCCAGGACTGCCAGGCAGCTCGGCTCAGGGGGCTCCGAACCCTGAAGTACTCCAAGGAGGAGACTGCCAAAGCCATTCTGGTGAGTGGTGGGTGGTGTGAGGGACCCCTATGGGGAGGGAGGGGCAGAGAGGGGCTGGCGTTTGGGGTTGGAGCCGTCCTCTGGAGACTCCCGGAAGGAGCTGACCTTCCTCCTCTGCTCTCTTCCAGGCCATCCTCGGCCACTTGGAGTAGTTCAGGGATCGCCCCCTGAGCCTGGCCCTGGCCTTCGAGGCCCTCCTGCAGTTGAGGTGAGCGGGGTCTTTGGGCTGGGCGGGGCTGCAGGGGGTGGGGGGGCAGAACTTCAGGGGGAACTTTGGGTGGGCAAGAGCAGGCAGCAGGGAAAGGGGGGCAAAAGAGACTTGGAGGAGGCAGCGTCTAACCCCTTCCCTTTCTCTCTCCAGTTTTATGAGACCCCACTTCAGTCCCTCTATGGTCAGTGCTATCCTCCATAGAACAACAGAGGCAGTTCTGGGGAGCGCAGAGGAGGACAAAGAGGTATGTCCTCCGCTTTAAGTTCTCTTTGCACAGCTCTTTCTTCTTCCCACACTCTTACAAAATTTAACCCAGCAGCACTCAACCTCTCTTCTCTCTTTTCCCACAGGGACTGAAGAGGCCATTCCAGAGCCTGCTGGGGGGTCTCCTCCTAGAAGCCCCCAATACTGGCACCCTTCTCCAGTTGCTTACTGTAAGTATCCTGATAGCATCAGAAGTGCTTTTAGGGTTGCCCCGCTGTCCCTTACCCAACTAACTGTCCCATTTCTTTCATCCCGCAGGACCTCCGATGTTACGCCCTTTTGGGGAGTGAAGACCAAAGGAAATTAGCGGCCAGCCGTGTATCCCTGCTGCTGGCCCTTTCACGAAGATTCCCGAACCTCAGAGTAAGTATTTTGCCTTCCTGTATTCAGTTCTTTGGTTGCTTCCATCCTTCCTGGGTGGGGCTGCTTCTCTTACACCCATCCAGGGTGGGGTTCATAGTGTCAACTGACTCATATTTGTCTTTCCTCTGCAGAACACAGTAAATCGGCCGGAGCTGGCTTGTTTCAGGAATAATCTGAAAGAAGGTAAGCCCCACACCTTGGGGACAGTGAACTCCCTTGTCCCTTGTTTGCCCAAGACACACCTCCCAGGTCTTCTTGCTGGGAGTCCTGCAGGACCTGCTTCCTGCTTGGCAGGCCTTTCCCACCTGGCCTGGGAGGGCAGCGCCTAGACTGACTCCAGCTATAAAAAGCAGAGAGGACTGAACATATTTTCTCTCTCTCTTTTTCATTCTTTTCCATCCAGATGACATAATCATCGAAGAGTTATGATTTTCCTCCCTGAAGGAATTGCTGCTCTATTTGGACGTCTCAATTGGCCAAAGACTGGCAGAAGAAGAGGCACTGAGAATCAGGAGGGGGACAGATGATTTAACCAGCCATGAAATATGGACTGAGATTGGGCAGAACAAGAAAGAAAGAAAGAATCCATGACGATGGTCATCTAATCTCTGCTTTAAAACCTGCAAGGAAGGAGAGTCCATCACCTTCCAGGGGAGTCCATTCCTCTGTTGAACAATGTTCAGTCGGAATCTCCTTTGTTGTATCCTGAAGCCATTGGTTCGAGTCCTACCTTCCAGAGCAGGAGAAAAAAAGCTCGCTGCATCTTCCAAGTGAAAATGGCTCTCTCTGGTGTCACTGGATCAAGCTGATCCATTTTCTTGCATTACATAAACCAAATAGTTTTTAATGGATTTTGAATAAACGTGCAATAAATTGTTACTGTTTTGAATTTCATTGTGTTATTGTCTTCCATTGATCTGGACACTTTTCTGTTGTTGCCGCCTAAAATAGCATGAGCATTGTTTGCTGCTGCATCACTCTCGGGTTGACTCATGTTAAGCTTGTGGTCCACTAAGACCCCTAGATCCGTTTCCCTAGCAAACCAGGTATCCCTCATCTTATACTGGTGCAGCTGGTTCTTCCTGCCAAAGTGCAGAACCTTAGATTAGTCCCTATTGAATTTCTTTTTGGTTTTGGTCATTTATGATTAAGTTATTAGGGGGGAAATGGAATTAGGAGTCATTTTCATCAAAGGAATTAAGGCAATTAATATATATCAAACTGCAAGCCTGATTGTAATTAATGCCATTACAGGAAAAATGTAAGATATAGAAGGGGACAAGGCAAGGATGCCCCCTTTCACTGCTTCAATCTATATCAGCCCTAGAGGTGTTCGCGCGGAGGATAAGAAATAATTCTGACATAAAGGGGATAAGGGTGGGCCAACGGAATTATAAGATAAAAGCCTTTGCGGGTGATGTGGTGTTTTCTGTAGAAGAACCATTGACAAGTGTACCTAAGTTACCGGAGGAACGAAGGAAATATGGAGACATTGCAGGTCTTAAAACAACTAAAACTAAGGTTTTAGTGAAAAATATGGATGCACAGGCAAAAGAAGATTGGCAGATGGCCAGTGGGCTGACAACTGAGAAAAAGGTGAAGTATCTGGAAATATGGTTAACAGCGAAAAACTCCAATATATTTCAAGATAATTATGCAAAGGCATGTAAAGATATAAGAAAAAATCTTGAGTTATGGGGAAGCATGAAACTCCCTCTAATTGGAAGAATTTTGGTTATAAAAATGAATATTTTGCCTAAAACGCTATTTTTATTTCAAACTGCTCCAACAGAAGGCAGAACAAGATGCTTCAAAGAATGGCAAAAATATATTTGTAGGTTTGTCTGGCAAGGGAAGAAACCGAGAATTAAATTAAAAAAATTAATAGATATATTTAATTTTTCTAAAAGTATTTTTAACAAGAAATGTGTTGTACCACTAATTCAAGGATGGGGTGGTTTCTTTTTTAAAAGGAAGTAGCACCAGCTGGTAAAGTAAAAGTTAAGATGGACTGAGGGGCAATAGGTCAATATGTCCTTGGATGCGTCATAACTAAATCCACTCACTCTTTTTTAAAAATAAAAAAATAAAAAATGGAAGAGTGGTTTTAAGGCTGCTTATGCCTGCAAAGAGTTTTGTCTGGGCAAAGAATGTCTTAGGCATGCCAGCACTCAAAAATTCAAGCTCCTCCTTGTTGTATAACACAATACAGCCCAATTCATTGATTTTTAGAGAAGATGGACTGCTCCTCTTGCCATTGCTATGTCTGGAACAGATGATCAGATTTGTTTCATAGAAGCATCTGCCCAGATAGTGAGAGCTGCAGAGATCTCAGAAGCTGATAAATCGTCTTGAATGGCAGTCTTCCGAAGTTACATTGAAGGAAGCAGGTGTGTTTAACCTGGAGATAAGAAGACTGAAGAGCTCATGGAAGGTTCAAAAGGTTGACTGAAAGAACAGCAGATAAAGAAGTTGTCACGTTATCCCACCATGATAGACTGGACAGAATATGTTTAAATAGCAGTGTGGGGCAACCCTTTGGCTTTAAGGCACCTGAGGCAGAAAATCTAAAGATGCCACTTTGAAAAGCTATTGAATATGCAGGCACAGCCATCAGGAAATGCTTCAGCTCAAGTTAAAATGAATGGGGGCTGTGCAAGAGCCAATATATTTCTCCTCGTCTCCACTTTTAGCTTAACCTGCTTCAGGATGACTTGGACTGCAAGATTATGGGAGGTTATATACATTTATCCACCAAAAGCCTTTTTCTTTTCCTAATCTGACCAGACAATAAGTAGGGTGTAGCTTAACAGAAAGGTTCCTGTTTAAACTTGTGAAACCCACTGCAGTTCCAAAAACCAGCATTTCCTCAGTTAGTTCTGTTATTTGCCAGGTTGCACGGTTGCACCACCAAAGCTTCCCCATTTATTTTTGACTTCTTCAAAACGAACGCTGATCATGAAAACCCAAGAGTCTGACAGGCTGGGGTCCTTCCAGTTCCAAAAATCTCTCCCCCCCCCAACTTTTTGCAGCATTTATCTGAGTCAAAACAGAAAGTTCATGAATGTCCTTCCCCCTTTTAAAGCTATATACAGTGTGCAACTATTCAGAGTCCAAACTGTTCCTATTTTCTGGTGCCTGTCCCCTCTCAATTTTCTATACGTTTATTAGCTGCTGTTTAAAATCCAATATTTTCCCCAACGGCTTACAACATCTAAAACTATGAAGAACCATATAAAATATAAAGCAACTGCAACCACAACAGCAAGATCTTTCACTTCTTTCTACAGCATTCATCCCTTTCAGTGTTAGGAAAGCAATTCAACCGCCTCACTGAAAGCAATCCTGAATTTTTTTTGTAAAAAAATATTTTTTGAGCCGACCTAAATGATAGCAAGGAGAAGGCTAATTCTTTACCAATTGTCTACCACTGAAAAGGTCAAGCCCCTTATAATCGTCAGCCTGTCCTTCATCATTTCTAAAGCACTGCACACAGATAGGGAGATATCCCTGACTGCAAAAGGACACTCTGAGAGCACTCCCAGATTGTCACAATTTTGGGGTGGGATTCAATCACATGATGACACTTTCGCCTTGCCCCATAGCTGATTGGGAGGTTTTGCGCAACAAACCTGCTTCCCCAATAGACCAGACTTTTTTCTGATGTGGAAAATGTAGGATAATGCTTGCTTTGACACAATGGTATCTCTTCTTCTTCTTCTTTGGCGACCACTTGTAGCCGAGTAAGATTGTCTTCCATAAACACAGTTTTAACAGTGAGTACGTAAGTGACTGTGGAGGCCAGTTCTGGATCCACACGTCCTTCCACAGTGGAGACATAGGTTTCCGGGCAGAAGTTGATCACAGTGATGGTTTGCCAAACATGACTTCCTCTTAACATGTTTCTCCCTTTGTCCTGAGCGTCTTCAAAGCTTTTTGGTAAAAGCTGTTCTCCAATTGGAGTGCTCCCAGGCCAGTGTTTCCCAGTTGTCGGTGTTTATACTACATTTTTTAAAGATTTGCCTTGAGAGAGTCTTTCAACCTCTTTTGTTGACCACCGGCATTACGCTTTCTATTTTTAAGTTCCGAATAGAGTAGTTGCTTTGGAAGACAATAATCAGGCATCCGCACAACAAGACCAGTCCAATGAAATTGATGTTGAAGAATCATTGCTTTAACACTGGTGATCTTTGCTTCTTCCAGTACACTGGCATTAGCTCGCCTGTCTTCCCAAGTGATGTGTAAAAAATTTTGGAGACACACGTTGATGGAAATTTCCCAATAGACCAGACTTTTTTCTGACATGGATAATGTAGGATAATGCTTGCTTTGACACAATGGTATCTAATCTCCCAGCAAACAAATCAGGTTGTATGTTCAATAAACAGATAATCTGGAAAGACCCTCAGTCGCTGTTTGCCTAACTATGCATTGGGAAGTAGCCCTTCAAATTTGTACCTCTCCTTCCATAATTCAGGTGAATGAGAAGATGAGCCTGTTGGATTGAAGAAAGATACAAATCCTCTTCATCTTTAATCCAGGTGCCACATTTCTTGCCCCAATGTCATGTTCTGTTATTGTAAGAGTCATAATAGGGGATTATTTACATTTTTATTTCTCGGGTTTAACACCAATTACTCATCTCATTTCAAGCACAGGGATTTTCTATTAAGATGCAGAAAGAAAACTGCTGTTGAAAAAGTAATGTGGCACATCAAACCAGCCTTTTCTGAACATCACAGCACTCTCTGGTGCTGGGAATGTAGTCTTGCCACAGAGAGCCACAAGTTTCCTCTTCCTACAGACACATTGCAGACTTGAAAGCCCTTCCCTCTAAACTTAGTTTGTAAAAGTCCAGCCTGGTTTTGCAGCCACAAATGTCTTCACAACCAAATGAACACGATCATATTTATTACGCCAGTCTTTTTACCATCCTGGACTGTAAGGAGTTAATCTGTGCTCTGCTCTGTGCCAAAGTGAAAGAAGGTAAAGAAGCAAATTGTTCTATTTTCTAATCCCAACGCTGGCCTCTCTGTGTGTTTTTCCCATTTCAGCTGAAAAAGAAGACACCTGTTAGCTCTGTAAATATCATCAGCCATCTAGGATTAGGGCTCCAGAAGCCTCCCACCCCCCCCAGTAAGTGCATGATAAATATTTTGCTTCAAAATCATTTCAAGTGCACTTACAGGTGCTTGGTATTGATTAGAGTAATTTGAAGCAGCATAGCTAAACTCAACCCATCGCCACCTCTGAGACGTGCATTTCTGTTTACTCCGCCTCCAATTCACTCCTACCGCCAGTTAGAGAAGCGCTGTACACACAACATTAGCCACTTATCCTGTATCTCTCCTGCCTTTTCTTATGAAATCCTGCCTTTTGATACGTCCCCCTCCCCCAAACCAGCTTTGATCTGAATCGAAAGAAACAACGACCTACCTATGTTTTAAGCCAATAATGTGTACAAAGCCATCAAAGTAGAATGAGCCAAATCGAACTGTCTATAAACAATGAATCATGGGTGTAGCCAGGATATTTTTTGGGGTGGGGGGAGCTAGGACTGAGCTACCTGGAACGTGATTGATCAGTTTGCAGAAGCCACGCCTATCGCTCAGGCAGTTTGCCAGTTGCGTCGCTAGAATGCACCATGCCATCATCCAAGTGACCTCAGCGAACATTTCAGTTTCAAATATTATGATTATTTCTACTTTAAGTTAAGTCTTTTTATTTATTTACTTGATTTGGGGGGCACCTGCCCCCCCGCCCTCTGGCTACATCCATGCAATGAATACCACCGGGGGGGAAATGGTGATGTGGCGTTTGCCCGTCTGTTTGAAAATGTCTGTACAGGGGGGAGAGGAAGAGTTAAAATGTAGACCAATAGGAAAGCCAGAGGCAGAGCCTACCTGTTTATAAAAGGGCTTAGCCCAAGGTTTGGGTGTGGGCAGTTGGTTGGTTTTAGTGGGTTGGCTGGTTGGTTGGGAAAGGCAGTTGGAAAAGCAGTTGGAAGGCAGTTGGAAATAGAGAGACAGTTAGTGCAGTTGGTTCTTGTGTGAGGGTGTTAACCCTTGCCCTCCTAGTAAGTGTATATTGGGTATGTGGCAGGCAGGCCTATCAAGGGGAGGTAGAAGAGATAAAGACAGAATAAAATAAGACTAAGAAGGTAAAGAGTAACAACGTTTGGAATGCAGTTAAAGTTTGTTTTGTCTGCAATAAACTACACTCTTCTTTGTTAACTTGAGAATCTGACTGAGACTAAGTGATTTACTGGGGAGGACCTAGTTGGTGGCAGTGGATTAATGGTGTATGGGTCAATAGTCCATGAGACGACCGGGGGCTCCATACGAATGCCACAGGTGCCAATCTATCCAAACCCACAAGCAGTATCTGGAGCCACAACTCTTGGCACCCCCAACTTTTATCAATGCATCTCTTAACATTTCATATATTTCCAAAACTGACTATGTAATATTGCTTCTCTTCTTCTTTAGACAGGCTTGCCAATGTTGCAGGCTACTTTCCTGTTTCTGATGATGGAGGGTCTATCCAGTGGTACCTAACTGGTTGACAATGGGTCAAAACAATTGTATTTGACTCCCAGTGGGCCTTACCTAATTTTAATCACCTTTCATCGACAAAGAGAATAAATTGTGCCCCCCCCAAGGCATGCGTGTATGTGAGTCCATGTTTTAAAGTGACCTCTCTGTTTGAAATCTGTCTGCCGCACCCTGCCCTGAGAGAATAGGTTCCACAAGTGTGAACTCCTCTACCTAGATAGGGATGTCTTGATTATGGCGCTTGATCTCCAGCCATGAATGTTGTTAGACCACAGTTCCTCTCACCTTTGGAGTCAAACAATATTTGGTTTCTCATCTCTGCTGTAAGATTTTCCAAACCTAGGCAGGGGCGTAGTGTGGGTTGCCACGGCCACACAGAGGAGAGGGGGGGGGGAAGGAAATGGATGTGGTATGCAGCCTAACAGTGTCAGTGTCACTCAGAGATCACAGCCACAAAGATAAGAAAAGTCATTCTGTTTTCTAGAGAGGTCACTTCCTGGTTCACATTTTCAATGGAGCTCAGCAATGGAAGCGAGTACCGGGTGTTGAAATTCTGCACCCCTAACCATTTTGCATGCTATGCCACTGAACCTAGGGAATGTGCATCTTAAAGAGCAGGAGGGATTGAGGCTGAAGTCGTCTGAGCTTGTTGGATGCGCATGGCAGGATAACTGACCGAGGGTGCCCCAAACTCCTGGATGTTATCTTTTCTTGTTTTCATTCAGAGAGGGAAGAAGTCAGAAACAGCAATTGCAGTTTGCCTTTGCTTTAGCAACTTAAGATTCAAGCCGCTAGGGGCTCCCCTTTCCTTGTAAGAAAAACCCAACAGCTTCCAAAACAAAGGGATTTAGGATGGGAGGGGCGGTAATGTTAAATCTGCAATGGGTGATACTTGAGCGCAAACAAGGAGGGGAGCACTGTGTTTGTGGGTAGGGTTTGTGAGGCCATGAAAAAAACTGATGGCATTTAAAAAACAACAACTGTGCATAGGAAACATGTGTCAGAATGTTTCATTTATCATGTTGCCCCTGAAACCTGTTGGAAGAAATAATGCTAAAATAAAAAAAGGGTGTGTGGAGAACTATACTCCATACTCACAAATGAATTGATTGCATTTATGGTTATGTTTTTAGTTTTATATTTAATTGATTGTATGTGGCCTAGGGTGTTTGTAACGAGACACCTAATAAATGTTAATAAATAACTATATATTGTCCTTCTTTGCTGAGAGTGATCTTGAAGGGATATTTGTGTGTTGGGGAGTGTGTGTGTGTGAGGTGGGGTGGCCTAATGACATTCAGCCTTTTCAAGTCTATGAAAAGAAATGGCAGGCAATACTTGGCTGTTTGCTTTCAGGTATTTGTTATTCATTCCGAAATGGCAAGCTGGAAGTTCACAGCAGTGTTTATATGAAGCTCCAAGCTGTCCGCTTGCACCATAAATAGGTTCTCCCATCAGGGGAGAGAGGGAGGCATCTATTTCCAGTGAAACCACTTAGTTCCAGAGGCAGCATCTCTAAACGCTGCATCTCGCTCTACTTAATAGTCTCTTACGTCAATAGAAATGACAGCAAAAGATGACAAAGAGATTAAGACTGTTTTATGTAACTGAATGGTTGAGGAAGCAGGGGCTGTAATCTATCTATACATGCATGCATGCATGCAAACATACAGTACATACATAAATAACATGCCCACAACCCACAATGATAGCAGTGCATTTTTGGGAAACTGAATCACTTTGTTGCTCAGTCAAAACTTTTTCTGAATATTCTATTTAAACTTTATTTTTATTTTTACATGTATCTACAAAACTTCCATTCAACAGGACATACCAATAAAATACAGCAGCACGGAAGAGTCTGGAAATTTGCAAAATGAAATTAATACGTAGAGAACAATATCCTTTTTAAAATTGTTCTTGAGGTAGCTCCCCCCCCCCCAATCCCACTTCTCATAAAAGAATATTCAAGTAAAGATTTGGAGGTAAAAGTTGCAGTGCGTAGGTTTCTTAAAATTTCCTCTGATTCATCTTACCTTTCCCATGACCACTGCCTGTTTCCAAGTCCGGCAGGTGGTAACAGTATTCACACATACCCTCTTTGGGCTTTATATTTATAGTGTAAGAGAACATGCGCATTAGGAATGGTGCTGGCTGAGCTCTTCTCCCTTGCGCACAGATATCTGAAGAGAAGGATCCTTCCTGGCTACTGTCTTCCAGGCAGTCTAGAACCCTGAACCATTGAGGTTCCAGATCAGATGGAAGACTGTGCACATAAAGCTTAGTGCTCCCTTCAGACATGCACAGAACATCCATGGAGACCAGGGAAAAGGGGCTATTCGGCACAGCCTGAATTTTAAGTATAATGCAGAGGCTATAGGTTTACTAGGTTTGCTATAGGTTTACTACTAGTTGTGTGTCTAGAAACTTAAGGGCTCACCTAGCCAAAACAGAGCAGTTTAAATTTCAGTGATTCAATGGAAGATATTTAAGCCCCCGCTTCACTCCCTTATTGAAAGCAATGGGAGACTGCCTTGTTGCCTTAGAGCTCATTAATACATTACAATCAGCTGTCGGTTTGCAGATTTAGCATCAGGCACAAGCAGTCTGTGCATGTGAGGATTGGAAGGTAGGAATATAAGCGATATTGTGCAGGTTTTCTGTGGAAGCCGGTGTTGTAATATTTAGTTCCTGCAACTGAAGTGAGAGGCTTAATAGTTCAGCAGGTAGTACGTACTGCTAACAGCTCCTTCTGGGGCAGCCTGGGTAAGATCTTCAGCAAGTCAAAATGTGGAAGGGAAAAATCGGACATGGAATTATGAATAACATTGAGGATGATGAGAGGCAGGACTATGATGTTGAATGCGCTTCGAAATTCAGACCGTGGGAAGTCAAAACAAAATTATTACAATTTGGAAGACAATTGGACCTTTTTATTTTAGTTTTTTATTTTTATTGGATCTGATTTGATATGTTAATTGGATGTTTTTATTGGAAAATTAATAAATGCTTTTAAAAAAAAAAAATCTTCAGCAAGAAACCAACATGGGGTCCTGATCCACAATGGGTATGCGATCCAGATGACTGATTTTCTTCAAACTAAAAGTGGCTAGCTTAAGTTCTTATTGTAACAAACAGTTTAGTGAGCTGTCCCAGTTGGAGTTGGCCTCACTGGAATTGCGTAATATACACGAAAAGAATAATGGGTGTGTTGAAATTGGGTGTGTGTGTGTGTGACATATTTCAACCATGAATACAATACAGTGGTACCTCGGGTTAAGTACTTAATTTGTTCCGGAGGTCCATTCTTAACCTGAAACTGTTCTTAACCTGAAGCACCACTTTAGCTAATGGGGCCTCCCGCTGCCACCGTGCCACCACAGCATGATTTCTGTTCTCATCCTGAAGCAAAGTTCTTAACCCGAGGTACTATTTCTGGGTTAGCAGGGTCTGTAACCTGAAGCGTATGTAACCTGAGGTACCACCGTATCTCTAAGTTTGACTTTGTGTTTTCCCAGCTGATCACGACAGGATCACCATGTAATGGGTTTAAAGTGAATGTGCTCTATGTAGTGCCGAGTTCCAGCATAATCAGTGGGTACAGGAATCTCACCATTATTAACAAAAAGAAGAACTTCCACTCTGATCTCAGGCGGTTATGATGAAAGAAAACAGCACTTTATTTAAAAAAAGGAAAGTGCCAGGTCTTAGCCCTGCAGTGCCTCCTGTAAGGGAGACTTGGTCCTTATTTATGGAAAGGCACTTTGTACATGCTCATATTAGCTTTGTATCTCTCTTCCGTTCCATCTTTCTTTCTTGGCCAAAGTGGGCAGGGAGCTGTGCTAAATGGGTGTGGCCAAAGCAGAAGGGGTGGGGCTACAGGACCACGATCAATAATCCTCACAGCAGTGGCCGTTCATGCCTCTTTTAGATTCCAGCATTGGTTGAATGTCTTATTTTTCAGGAAAGCTTTTGGAGCCTGTTGTTGCTAATGTGCTGATTGTTCTTTGTTTTGATACCTGCCTTTTAGTTTTATGGGTTTTTACATTTTGCTATCGTATTGACTTTATGATTGGTGGCTTTTATTCTCTTTATGGATCGTATGCTATTTCGAGTGCCTTTTGGCAGAAAATGCAACTGAAAAGTCCGGTAATATAAATGAAAGCATGTTGTTTATGTGCAGTACTGGGTCTAGGAGAAGGTTGCAACCTGGAGCTCTTGTTTCTGCCTCTCTTGTGAGGTAGGATTCTTTAAAGACACCCTTGGTCTTGTCAGGTGCAGTTAATGCCCCAACCATGCGTGTTTTTCTACCTTTATATGAACTCATGGACAATCCAAACTCATAATTATATAATGGGAAAGCGACTAACCTAGGTTAGGTCTCCTGCCTAGCAATTCAGTAGCATTGGACAAAATGGAAAAGACCCTTGTTGTTCAACTCCAGATTTATAATTGCAATTTTTGCTAAGGATCCAGTAATGGTGGATTGTATTGCAATACAAATAGAAAACAATATTCTATAGTGAATGCTTAGATCCTAAAACCATTGTTCCATAGGTTACAGACATGAATGCAGTTAGCTTCTCTGTGTACATGAGCGAGGGTTTAATTGGAGAACTTTTTCTGTTACTTCTCACAACACTTCAGTTTAACAACAAACTATGTCCAAAATCACTCTGTTTTTATGTAGTGACTCTCAGGATGTGCGTGTGTGTCTGCAGACAAGGATCCGGTCAGATAAGATTCTGACAGTGTTATGGTTTGCATGCACACACTGCTGGATCAGAGATAGCCAGAGATAGATGAGTCTTTTGTGCAATGCAGCAGAGACCTTCTTATGTTCTTATGAAATACTTAGAACATTGCTGAGTTTATGGAAGTAGCTCTTAAGAGGTGTAGAGATGAGGGGTTTCTATTCCTCTTCATCATTCTCCTGGATACTCTGTAGCCCTGTTCAGGTACTAGGATTCTGTATTGGCGGCATCTGGCTGCAGACCCCATCACCCCGATGGTGGGAAGGGGGCTTGCACATGCGTTGACTTGAACATGCTCATAAGCCTCTTCATGATCAGGAACCTTATGAAATCAAGGTTCCCTTTCAGAGGGAGGCTTATAAGTGAGACTGGAGGAGAAGTTTAATTCTGTTCACAATTAGAGGCGAATCTACCTAATCCACAGTTTCTGAAACAAAACTCGAACCAAAACACCGCCGTTCTTCAAAACTCACACTTCTCCAAGTTGAAGGCAGTTCTCCTGTGCTTTAAAGACATAAACGGCCCCGGTCCAGTATAGCTGAAGGAGCATCTCCACCCCCATCGTTCAGCCTGGACACTGAGGTCCTCCTCCGAGGGTCTTCTGCCGGTTCCCTCACTGAGAGAAGCAAAGTTACGGGGAAGCAGGCAGAGGGCCTTCTCGGTAGTGGCGCCTTCCCTGTGGAACCCCCTCCCATTAGATGTCAAGGGGATAAAGAACTACATAACTCTTAGAAGACATCTGAAGGCAGCCCTGTTTAGGGAAGTTTTAAATGTTTGATCATGTTTTGAAATATTCTGCTGGGAGCTGCCCAGAACGGTTGGAGAAACCCAGCCAGATGGGTGATGTATAAATAATAAAACTATTATTATTATTACAAAAATGAATATACTAGAGTAGGCTTGTCCAAATTCCAAGAGACTGCGATCTACGCCCACTATAAAAAAAGCAGTGATCTACCCACTGGATTGACCAGAGTTGTTGAGATTTTTTTAGGAAGTCAAAGTTGTTGAGCTTTTTTGGGGGGTGGGTGGGAGGAGTCCCATGATCTACCACGGGCACCCCACGATCTACCTGTTGGCCATCCCTGTACTAGAGTAAAGTGATCATCTTGGTTGCCCTCCTTCACACATTCCAGCTTGTTAATATCCTTCCTGAGTTGTCGTGCCCAGAATTGGAGACACACAACATCACCCAGTCATCCCCCTGAGCATTGCCTAGGCTGCCATTGTCCTCGATGGTCACTTTTGGGAGAGTTCTTGTCTTCTCTCCCACCACTAAAGCATTTCAAATTGTTTAATCCATGCTACAATGTAGAGTACAGTACCCAGTGCAACTGCATACCCTAATCTAAAAATACCACCTCCCCACTCTAACCTTTGCGATTTTTTTGGGGGGGGGGCATAAAATAGAATCTGTATTGTTGGCCAATGATGATTTCTCTCTCCATATTCCATATTCTTTGGCTCCGTAAACGGGAACTGAGACTCTTGCTATGAGCTAGTGTGGTTCTTTAGTTCAGTTCTTTAATTTTTTAACTCTTTTTGCCACATTGGCCCTGATATGTGGGGGGCTCAATACCCCACTGAACAAGGTGCCTCCTAACTCTGTTAACATTTAAAAGTAACTCCAGTTAAATTGATGCAAACCAATGGCAACATAGCAGGCATTCAAAATGCAAAATAACTTGGTTTTCCTCCACCCCCTCCCACAAGATGTCTCTTCTGTGGAAACTTTATTGTACATAATGAATTTTACCAGACTTACGTGTCCCTGTATATATCTCCTCCTCTGGGGAAAGGCTTGCTGGAAATATAAATTAGCTTTCTGAGTACAGAGGTGGGCCATTTGTGGTGCTCTGAAGGATATTCTGGGAATGTTCCGCCCAGGGAGCTGTACCTCATTGGAATGTGTGAATAATTTGACTTGATTAAGATAATTGGAATGAAAGTGGGAGATGCTGAGCCAGGGATGGGAAACTGGAAGCGACAATTGTTTGGAGGTGCCTATTGTGAGTCGAGGAAGGGATAGCACAACTGATCTTACAGGGCACAGCTCTTTAGATGGTGAAGTACGTATATCACATCAGATGGTCTTATGGGCTCCAGTTTTTAGATGACAGTATGCATTATTTCGTTCCCTTCAGAATGTGGTAAGCCAGGCAGACCTCACAGAACTCTAGCCCAATGGTTGCCATTAACCTGATTTAAACTGATTTTATAATGAACTGATTTTAGAATGTTGTATCATTTACTGTTGTTAGCCGCTCTGAGCCCGGCTTCGCCTGGGGAGGGCTGGATATAAATGAAATATTATTATTATTATTATTATTATTAGGGGCCTCCTTCTGCTCACTCTGCTGTTGAGGTACTGGATTTTGCCCCCAAAGGCAATGGCAACCAATTTTATTTTGAGAGACTCTTAAACGTCATCTCACTAAATGTCTGTCTGTCTCTTCCTCCTAAAATTTGTCATGCCAACAATATCCATAAATAGGTTATCTTTCGGGTGTGCCATTTTTCTTTCTTTCTGCAAGCAAGTTTGAGCAAGGGGAATTGGAGTCT